TGACGTAAAAATCACTCATGTGTGATCAATTTTCAAGGACAATTCTGTAATTCCTCCTACGATTTTAAATAGATTAAAACGCGTAATATCCAAAATGTAAGCTCAGATTCGGATTCCTCGTGAAAAATTGATGAGATTTTATGCATAATATGTTAGAATAGCGTGAAGGAAAGAGGTTTAATGACGTAAAAAAACACTAATGTGTGATCAATTTTCAAGGACAATTCTGTAAATTCTCTTACGATTTTCAGTAGATTAAAACGCGTAATATCCAAAATCTAAGCTCAGATTCGGATTTCTCGTGAAAAATTGATGAGAATATTCATGTAACATATGTTAAAATAGCGTGAAGGAAAAAGGTTTAACGACGCGTATAGATTCTGTCGTACTACCGCTTTGAACTACGCCGCCGCGCGGGTCGCCCGAGTGAAACCGAATGGGGAGGCGCCTGAATTCCTCACGATAAATTCTTATTCTTCCTCCTCCGCTGACCCACTGAGCACTACTCATGTTGCCACGTTGGATTCATATGCTCGAATCAGTATGTCTACGTTACGTCTCTTTCCTTCACGCTATGCTCGGGTATGATACATGAAATGATATCAATTTTTAACGAGGAATCCGAATCCGAACTTCGATTTTGGGTATCACGCGTTTTAAGTCAAATTTTCTCAATTCGAAAATCTGAAATGACTGACGTGGCTTAAAATACCATCTCGGCTCCTGTTCGATGGATTTTCCTGAAATTCGGTGTCAGGGTATAATACATGAAATCGCATCGATTTTTCACGAGGAATCCGAATCTGAGCTTCGATTTTGGGGATCACGCGTTTTAAATCAAAATCTGTCAAAATTCAAAAAATTCAAAATTCGAAAATCCGAAATGGCTTAAAATGCTATCTCGGCCCCTGTTCGATGGATTTTTCTGAAATTCGGTGTCAGGAGGTATTTTTTGCCAGGAAACTCGAATTTTTAGTCCATTTTTTAAAATTCTCAAATTCAAGATGACGGACGTGGGCTAAAATGCTATCTCGGTTTCTGTTTGTTCGAGTCTTGTGATACGCGGTATCACACGGTAATTTTCAACGGAAAACTCGAATTTTTAGTCAACTTTTTAAAATTCTCAACTCCAAAATGTTGGATGTGGCCTAAAATGAGCCCCGGTTCTGGCCTCCGTTTCTGTTCGTTAGAGCTTTGTGAACCGCGGGATCAGGGGTACTTTTCGACGGGAAACTCGAATTTTTAGTCGATTTTTGAAAATTCTCAAATCCAAGTTGGCGGACGTGGCCTAAAATGCTATGTCGGCTCCTGTTCGATGGATTTTTTTGAAACTCGGTGTCTATAACTCGGGTATTTTTCGACCGGAAACTCGAATTTTTACTATGTTTAAAAATTCTGAAATCCAAGATGGCGGACGTGGCCTAAAATGCTATGTCAGCTCCTGTTCGATGGATTTATGGCGCCCCCTCACTACATGCCTACTCTTGTATTTCTGTACAGCCGCAAATTTAGGATCAAGGGCGGGCGCCTGATCATCTATGGACCAGGTGGAGTTTTTGTCCTGAAAATTTACCTTTAGACGGCAATTCTCTTTATATTTTGTCTATGGTTTTTATGCCCCCCCCCCTTTCTCGCGGACTCTCTTTTCACTTTTCTTGCCTCCTTTTTCCTTCCATTTCCCCCTTTCTTCCTTGCTTTCACTGCCCAACCTTGTTTCCTTTTCCTTTTTTCCCCTTGTCTTTTCTTCCCTTTTTTTCCCTTTTCCTTTCCCCCCTTTTTTTCCCTCTCTTCTTCTTTCGTGGCGCTCCCCAAATGCTGGCGCCCGTGTGCGCCGCACGCCCTGCACACGCCCTAAGTCCGGGCCTGATCAGACATAATTATTTGTGAACTAAGCGCAAGAATCCCTCTTTGCTTCTTTTTTAACATGCGATTTTCATGGCGCGAAAATCCCTCAAGACAACAAAGTTTATTTTCTTCATAGCTGAGAAGTTTACCATAATAATTTTTAAGAGACGTATTTAAGTGAAGCCTCCCTCATTAAGTAAATGAATAAGTGAAACACCACATGAAAAATATATGTAGGTTGCATACCCTTTAAATGGCATAACGTCATATTAGAGCTCTCAGATGCGCGACAGGGATTTTATTTAAATACTTATTACTTAAGTAAATTTTTGCAAGAAACACGAAAATAGGCATACACTGAGTATAGTGTGGTGGATCCTCTCCACTAGAAACTCACCTTTGAGAGCTTCCTTAAAGCTTGGGAGTTTGTTTCAAAGAAAACCAGCGGCACCATCATTGTTTGCAAGAAAATTTAAATATGCCTAATAACTAAAACGCAAATCCCTGATGCATGAAAGTGGTTCATTGACCCTAAAATGTATTAGCTTATTTCTCGAAAGAGTCGATTTTTAGGAAGTACCTATTTGTAAACATGTATTGAGTGTTCTTCATCAAATCCTTAAAGCCCAAAACGAAGAAGTAGACTGGGTAGGTTTTTTTCGATTTGAACACGTCATTCTAGCTGAAGTGATTCATTTAGTCCCCTTAGAGGAGTATTTGGTCAGAGAAGGTAAAGTTTCCTTGGGAATAAACCTTGAAATATGCCTTAACCAATCAAAAGTAGCCAAAATTTCCCACTAAAAAGGCTAATTATATAAAATCTCTTAGTAGGGGCAAGAAAATTGTCCCCTTCCCTCGCAGTATTCTGAAGTTTTCATTTTGACTAAACCGTCCGTGTATTGAAACGAAGAGTACCGAGTCAGGGCGGAAGGTCTGGATACACGCTCGAATTTCCGTCAATTTTCGATCAAAATGATGACAAAAATGGCGGTCAAATTTTTGCAGGCCCTAAAAATGTAATACTAGATGGTGTGCACCAGTCACCATTTGATTAGAAATTGATGAAAATTTGAGCGTGTATCCAGGCCTCAAGGCACCGCGCTTCCAAAATCAGAATAATGCATTCAAAGTTCCCCCAACAGACCTTGCCTTATACAAATCATTCATTATTTTGGAACATTCACAGGTATATTAGCGTTAATTTTGGCCTCCTTGAATATACATGAGACAATGTTAGATTTGAAGTTCTGCGCGATCATATACAGACTGAATATCATGGAAAAAAACAGAAACAATAAGCCTCGGGTGGTCGAGGACATCACCTATCACTATGACCCGATGCATTGTTTTGCGTCAAAGTTAGTGATGAAGTCAATTTAAAATCGATGGATTTCAATTATTTTGAGTCCGCAACATATTTTGATTGGGGGGTTTGAAGAAGTTAAACTTTTCCCCGCCTAAGACGTTCATTCGGAGAAGAAACGGAGAATGCATGCCGCTTATACCGCTTGGAGCGCCTTCAATTTGAAATGATACTTCTTCTTAGTCCCTCGCAGTCAGTAAGTCGCCTAGTCGAATCAAGCCCTCCATACTCACGACTGAGAGGATTTCATTGGTAGGCCCTCCTACCACAAAAACATCGGAAAGTTAAGGCACCTTTTAAAAATAAACGTATTACTGCTGTTTTCTCTTTTCTTCGCATCTTCCACATTATTATATTTCCTTCGTACATTCCTCTTTTCTTTGGAGCAAATAGGTCTTACGCTTCATCAATTCTACGTAACTTTTCGCGAAGAATCCAAATCTGAAGTAAAAACATACACTTCCTATTTGAAATTTTCGACTTACGGCTCTCCAAAGCCCCAAAATTTTTGGGGGGTCGTGGCCCTCATAATTTTGGAACAATATAGGTCATGTCACACATAAATAAAAAGGCATTGACCTCTTCTCCAGGGAGACTTTTAGATTTCGAATATTTTATAATTTTAAAGCCTACACTGTCTAATTGAAATTTGCCCAAAAAATGCCCCAAAATGCTCCGTAACTCAAAAAAATCGGGGTTTAGGGGAAAAGTGCATGGAACAAAAAGTTCTTACTTTTGGCCATAATTTAAATCGAAGTACAAAAATATCCTCCCCATTTGAAAAATGCCGGAAACGGGGGTCATCCCCCCTCAACCCCCCCCCCTAAAAGTAGAGTTGGGGGGGCAGCAAATATCTATATTGAATTCTCTGGGGGTTGGTTTTCTTCAGAGAGTTTTTGCCCTGAAGTTCAATTCTCGGCCGTTTCCCAGAAAAGACATGGACGGGTGCTCTGGAACACCCGGCAAATTCTCATCATCATCCTCTTCCCTTCTTCTTCTTTTTTCTTATTCTTCCTTTTTACACTTATCATTCTCTAATCACCTTCTTGTTTCTCTTTTCTCCTTCTTTTTCCTTTTTCTTGCTTAACTGTTTCCTATTTTTCTATTCTTCTTCTTCATCCTCTTTCGTTCTTTTTCCTCTTGCTCTTTCCTTCTCCTTTATTCTCTCTTATTCTCCTTCCTCTTTCTCTCATATTATTTTCCTCGTTCTTTCTCTTTTGATCTTCTTTTCATTCTCCTTTCTTCTTCCTTTTTCTTTTCCATTCTATAAGGTATTCTTCTTTCTTCCACTCTTTTCAAAGCAAGCAGGAGCTCGTGTTGCCTACACTAAAAACTGAAGGCAAACTGATATATAGCGTTACTTGCGTTAGTGACCTCTTCCGGTTTGGTAAAAAGCGTTTTTTTTGTGTACTCAGGGGAAAAGGGGGCGGGTGAAGTAATTTTCATAGCAATATTCTACATTCTTACAAAATCGGAAATTATAAAACGAGCGAACGTTGAAGTGAAAATTGGGATTAATTACCTGTAGAAACTTGCATTGATTGACTCACTGACTCGCTCGGAAATTCACACGCACACATATCATAGAATGTAAATGAAAATATCAACACCTAAAACCAGAATTGCTAATCACGCTGATAATAAAGTTTTTTAGTATATACATGGATTTTATTTAACATTAACGTTAGAGAGAAATCCGCGGTTTTTCAATGATTTTTCATGATAGGAGCATTAGGAGGGAGGGGCTGAGAGGGGTGCCGTAAATCCACCGATGACCGGTAATCCATCCACCATTCACCGTTGCCGTCGGTTAACCTAGGCTTTCAAAAACACGATCTATAAACATTAATCTTTACCATGTTCTACAATAATAAAGTTTTGTGTAAATTGTGTAAATATTTTCGTGTATTTAGTGATTAATTAGTGCGAAATAGAAGGAAACCAAAAATGAGTAAATTAAGTTTTCGAGCGCGGGCGCTCGACGCGTCCAAACCCATGCCAATTTACATGTCAGAAGAGCTGCCTGATCTTCCTGAATATTCAGCGATTAACAGAGCCGTACCTCAAATGCCTAGTGGAATGGAAAAGGAGGAAGAATGCGAACATCATCTCCAACGAGCAATTTGTGCCGGTTTGATAATTCCTACACCAGAAGTCAACGCTATCAGTGAGGCCATCTACAACAAACTTTATCCTCCGACGTTCCAGGTACCGAAGAAACTGATTCATATGCAACCGTTTGCTATGGAGCAAGACATTCCAGACTATGACATGGACTCGGAAGATGAAAAATGGGTTAGTTCTCACTCAAAAACTTTAGGGCTTAATGCAGATAAATTTGAGGAAATAATGGATAGATTAGAAAAGAACAGTGGTCATTCAGTAGTAACGCAAACTGAGGCGAAAATGCTTTTTAAGGAAGATGATGATTTAATCATGTGTGTTTATGACTACTGGCTGAATAAACGCCTCAGAACCCTACAGAGTTTAATTCCAACAGTCAAAACTGATCAGAATGCTACTGGCACTAATAATCCGAACCCATATATCGCCTTTCGAAGACGCACGGAAAAAATGCAGACTCGAAAAAATCGTAAGAATGATGAGGCCTCATATGAAAAGATGATCAGGTTGCAGAAAGATCTAAATAGAGCCCTGATGATTTTAGAACTAGTCAAACGCCGAGAAAATTCAAAACGTGAATTACTTCATTTATCAGTAGAGGTGTACGAAAAACGCTATCAGCTCAACGACTTTAATGGCCAAATCTTAGCAGAAGTTTCCCACAATAAAAACAACCTACGCAATGTTTTTACTCCTATCTATACCAATCACTTCCCTAATCACTCTTCCAGTTGGGTACCGAAACCAACGCAAGAAATGAATTCCTGGACTAAAGAGAAACGACAGTATAAAAAACGGAAACACAAAGCGCAAAGTTCCCTTTATCCAGACACTGCTAATGATGATGACAGAACAAGTCCTGTCCCTACAGAAAGAGCAGTGGAGGATGAAGAATCAAGCCATGTCTTTCGGAGAAATAGTCAATGCTCCTATCAAGCTCCTATTCCTAATTTTGGTAATTGGCCATGGTGTAGCTCCGAAGAAGGAGGTTATGCTGATAAGCGGTACAGGTACAGCCTCACCTCCATCTCAAGACCACATCCGCAGTGTATTGGCTTTGCAAGGCGGAGAGTCGGCAGAGGTGGTCGTGTTATATTAGATCGAGTTTGTGAAAGCCAAGATGACTACTGGGCAGCTCAAGACTTCAAAATACTTGAAAGGATTCCTGCAGACCAATTAGCAAGCCACTCACAACCAGAAGTGACCTGCTTCAGGCCGTTGACACCAGAGGAGCCGCTCCTAGAGGCTGACAGACTTACACCGCCCTCATCTCCTGTGATCTATGATGTAGAAAACTTGCTTAGTCCAACACAAAGTGTCGCAACTATCGAAGTGAACTTTGCGAATAGTTCGGCTTTTCAAAATGATACTACCTCTTGTCCTTCATCGACTATACTGAAAGATAGATTATCAATACCGAAAGAAAATGGGATTGATTCAAAACGAAATCTTAGCACTCTCTTCCATAATGATGTCCTCAAAAGTAACTCCAATAGTGGCTCATTGCTAGATAGATGGGCTAAGTATGATTCATCAGTAGTCAGCACAACAAATGTGAAGAAGTGCAAAACATTCAATGTTTTAAAAAGTGGCGATCCGATCGGTTGTTCTGTCTTTGAAACGACACCAACATCGTCAAGTGAACCGGTTCTTTTCAATCTAGAAGTGATCAATTCTAAACTGAGTTCGCCTGTGCAATTAAATGTATCGACTTGTGATAATAATGGGAGCTGAACACTCTCAAATTTCTGGGCTTCACCCAGAAAATCTGTGTTTTCTTTTTTGATGAGGTGGTCTATGCTGGAATGTATGAATATGTGCGGGATTTATACTTTTCTAAGCAGCGTTGCATTTCAATTCAGCCAGGCATTTGTACAAGTTTTCTGTCTTAAATAAATTGTTCTCTCATAGTGCTAATCATTCTTACTTTATGAGATGGGAGTGTAATAGAAATTTATGCAACATCAGTCTTCCTCCTGCTCTCAACTATGAAGTTACCATCCGACAAACCTCCTGCCAGTATCCATCTTTGCAATCATCACACATCATTCTCATCGCTTCGACTTTCTTACTGTAAGTTTCTCTGATTTTTTCATCCTGTTATTAATTCTCAGGAAATTATTTTTGGAGCTGACGTTATTTCACAAAATAAATTTATTTCCCCTCGTATTATTCTCCAAGAGTAAACGTTACAAAATATTTACTTATCTACTAACAACATCACAAGTAGTGAAATCATATTTTTGAATTCAGTTACTAAATCAGCAGTGGTGAAACAAGAAAAAGGTTTTTCTCAATTGGGATGCTTAAACTTTCCGGGCATGTTTTACTTGTTCCAAACCTAATACCACCAGATATTTTCTATCAAATGCTAGAAGCAGATTCTTTGAAACATTAGGTAAAATCACCTGAAATTTTCTTCTTATCAATTATTGGTCGCCGCTCAGAAAATTGAAATGCAATCGGCCATTAGCTCTTATCATAAACTGAGATGAGGTCTTTCTAGTTTCACCACGGATTTGCTCCCAGTATTCAGAAGTACTCATTCAGTATTATTTCATTTCTCCAAATTTTCTTTATTTCCCTCACTTTCCCGCATCCCACCATGTGAAATGTAATTCTCAGTGAATTACGAGTCCCTTTAGCTTGCTGCTCCTCCAACTTTTTTCCAAAATGGTTTTCTTCTACTAGAATTAAAATAACGCTATTCTAACTCCATGAATTTTCTGAGAAGATATGCCTACCTAGTTCTGACAGATTTCTGTTACACTTTCACGCTCTGTAATTTTTTATTTCCCTAAATGTATCAGTGATCAAGTGTGCTAAGGTTTACCTACACTGTTTTGATTAAAATTAAGAAAACTTGTGTTAGTAATTGATACGAAGTCAGGTGAAAATTTTTTTTGGAATGTTCATAATGTTTGGCCAGTTGAACTGCCTTCTTGTCATCTTTCAATTCTTTAAGTATGGAAGCTTGTGTTGAAAGGTTAAAGTTTTGCATTTTTCAAATCTCAGTCAAAAAATTGAGCAAACTGGCAGCTATTGTCTGATCCGTTCTCATCAGTCTCTCCCCCCTCCCCCAATACCTTCTACTAATGGTAATTACTAATGTAAGACGTCTTATTGTCGATTATGAGTGGAAGACAAGAATTTGTTCTTTCTCAATGACGTTCATGACAGATTTAGATACCATGAATTAAGTTATCGGTGAATGACAGTGTCCAACCATATAACTTAAAAATGTATTATCGTCGTTTCTCTGTTCGATATCATTGTAAATACCCTCAAGCGTTTCCAATGAATTTTCCTTAGTTGCTAACGTTGTGGTAACCAGCTAATCGAATTTCACGGTTAAAACTTATGAGAGAATCAATGGAAAGTAAGATTTGTTTCAATCGGCTCAAGAGTAGCTAGCTCTCGAACCCTCTGATACTAAAGGATGTTTACAAGACTATCAAGCGATAAGATCTTTACATTTTTTTTACAGCTCACTCAGCTGAGAGTTTCTTTGATTTTACTCTATGAGTGTAATCTGCTTACTTTAATCTTATTTTGTGGAGAAGCATTTGACGCCCTTAATCTATGCTAAAATGTAGTTTCCCTCCACTCTGGTAGATAATCAAGAATGATGATAATTCAGCAAGAAGCCAAATCATAATTTTTCTAATTTCCTTACTGATCAAACTGTTCATTGAAATTTATGCAGAAACTTAGGCAAGTCTATTCTGCCGTTAAGATTAATATTTTTTTCGTTCTTTTGTTCCTTTCCCTCGTAGGTTTGTTTATCAAACCTAACCTCAAAACCAAATGTCAAATACAATTTATCCTAGGTCAATAACTAAGCAAGAAGTCTCTATGACCGTACTTCAGATTACAATTTTAATCTTCCTTTAACAATTGCCCTCTGAAATCGTTTGCCCTGATTCTATGCATCCCCTTAACATTTTGGGCCTGTAGTATGATTTATCATAAAATGGCTTCAGGCAAATCCTACGGAACTTTTAGTTTCCTACCGCTGCGTTCTTAATTTACTTTTGTCAACACTATTGTATCATGGATTTTTTCCTAAAATTTCAACCGATAATGTTTCATTCTTTGCTTTACTAGTTTTTTACTGTAGCTTCTAACTTGCTCAAATTTCCCTCTGAATAAAATAGAATTTAAGGCGCCGAATGCATATATTAATTTTAAAATGAAACTCGTGTCTCTAATTGCTCTACATATGTAATATTAATACTTTAGTTTCATTTGAAACAAATACAATTCTTGTTATTTTTTCTTCTTTTTTATTGCAGTAATCAATAAAATACGGGAGGATCGGAGAAAATGTTAGCGATGTAGTAGGTGCCTACATATGTATTGATGAAGAGTATATTTGAGATGTTAATGTGATTGAAGAAGAGTTTAGAACACCAAAATTTTGTGGAAGATTGATGATCTAGATTTATGTCATCGTTCTTTTTCCCATTGAAATTCAATCTAGCGTCACCCGCACATCTGTGCATTACCTTGTTGCATGTGAGGTCCCTTTTAATTCCTCTCCGGCTAAAATTCCCTTAAGGTAACTGAAGCTGGACTTTTATAGGTACTAAGTAGGTAAAATGAATCACCATGTTCTTATACCATTCTTTATTTTAAAACCATTCTCTCATTGCCACTTTGTGAAAACAGCAAACCTGTACTCATTAACTTAAACTTTTGTACCTAAGTCTCTTTGTATTTTATTATATTTGTACAGTGTCATGTATATTTAATACCAATGAACATTAAGTAAGCTCTCACTTTATCCAAAAACTTGTAAATATGCTTGTATTATTTGTGAAAAATTCTCCTTAACAATGTTGAACATTTTGTAAATAAAAATTGTAAATATTGTTTTTTCCCTTAAAATTTGATGTCTGTGAGTATGGAGGTGTAAGATAATTTAGAGACGGGGACAAGTTAATTCTCATTCGTCATCATGTTGCTCTATGTTTCTCTAGTTGTACCATGTGACCATGTGGAAAATTCTGGTTACTTCACAAAAATTATTAGAAAAGTAAAATGGGAATTTACTGTAGCAGAGCGTTTTATGTTTAATCAAAACATATACTTAATGATCAATTAAAACTGTTTAGTTTTTTGTAAGTTAACAGTTAGTCGATGTTAATAAAAAATTGTGAATGGTAGATGTAAGTATTGGTTACTAAAAGGAAAAAAAATAACAAAAAAATTATTATTATTTTTTTTTAATGCAAATTGTTCTTCAATTAAAATTAATGCTCAGCAATGGTGTTTCTCCTAATATATGTATCTATATCTGTCTAGAAGCTCTGCTCTTAGGAGGACCTAATTTTTAAGCCAATAGTAGATTTTTCTGAAAATTTTAATCTCCTATGATAAATATGCGAGATAGGTGAAGTGATCAAGTTTTCATTTTTTAAGAAGTCACATTAACTGCTTTTCTCCTCTTACAATTATAAGTCGAGGAGGAATTGAGTCGGGTAATTTTTTTTCCCTTTTTTATCACCATTATTTTTCTCTTTTTTTGATAAAAGAAAAAGAATAACACTAGTCATGAGATTTTCATATTGAAAATGCATGACAGTCACAAGTATTTTTTCTCCATGTACGCTAAGTGCAAAACAGCAAGTTCCACTTTTCTTTTTTCCCTGACTCTAATCGCATTCTAAAATTCAATAGGAGATGGAGATAAATTGATTATGTAATTTTCAAGATTCCATATTTCTTGCAAACTTTTCAACCTGTTCTTTTCATTTTTGGAACTTGGTCAAATTAGTAACCGAGCCCCACAATTACTCTCTAAGTCTCTACTGTCATCTCTAATTTCTAATACCAAGGTTCAGCATCATGGAGGAAAATGAAGCAAATATAAGTAAAAGGAAACGATTCTAAATGAATGCTCGGAAATTTTACTTCGACCAATGATTCGTACAACTTAAACAAATTTATCAAAATACTTAAGCCGTTAATCAAATGATGATTGCTCTCCATTAAAAATTTTCTGTTCTATTTCATCAGCAAAGTTGGTACCTAGGTATAAAATGGCTTTAAAAATGTTTAATTTAATTTCAGAAAAAGAAAGAATTTCTGAAGGCCCTCAGCACAACGTGGAATCAAGTCTTTTTAAATTCACGAGCGTTTACTTTTAGGTCAAAGAATTCCAAGCAGCCACATCTCAGTCAGAGACTAAAGTGACAGTTTAAGAACTTGCTGTTTTGTCAATGCGATTCTGTTTTTGTTTTTTCTTTGTTTTTCTTTGTGATATGGGGGACAGGGGATGAAATTATGATTTCGGAAACCATGAAAGTTTTAGCAAATTGTATTTGTATGTATTGTGTATGATTTTGTAATTAAATGATAATCAATTTTTTGACACTTTTGTCATTCTTTTTCTTCTTACCTCAACATTTCCTCTAAATCTTTCACTGCAAAGGATTTCCTTTTTTAGTTTTTTTTCAACTTTAGGACATTCCGTTTTTTCATATTAGGCTCAATTCAATTCATATTCTTTATTAGGCAAAAAAGACAAGGTTACAAAAGGCTAGTCTGAAAAGAAAGTTTTAATCATAACCTTGGCTTTTTTTTCTGAAAGTTAATCAAATTAGTTAATAGCCTTCAATCACCTATGTACTTACTTATTCATCACAATTTTTTTTCCCATACCTACCCAACTTTTCATGCGCCTCAAATGGGAAAATATTTTGTGATGTGATCAAGTCAGCACCAACGTCTAGACTCATCACTATGCTCTGTAAGCAAGTAATAGATGGTTGTGCTAACACACACACTTCCTGTAGATACACAATTGTGGTGTTTCAATATTTACGAATCTGATTACCTACCTATACTTATGTAGTTTGTTTTTTTCTAAAGAAAAATTATAGTTTATTATGAATTTCTCATGAAATACTTTGTTTGTCAAAGAGAGAAACGTGTCGAGAAATATCAAGAAAAAATGTTAACAAGCCTGCACATAAAGGATGAAAAACTAAAATTTTAACGGTATGAAATCTGACTAGGTAATTCTTTTTTTTCACCGGAAAATTTTGATTTATCATGATGAAAATTTTCCTTCTTTTATAATTGAGGTGTTGGGTGCAAAAAGGGCATTTCTTGGTTTGCTTTGTTTCAGAATCTGCACTGCTAATTTATATTTTATAGAGAAAACTTTAGGGCGAATTTTCTGAAATTTTTAGTTTTCAGAACTGTAAATTAATAGAGAAAATCTATTTAAAATGTTAACAATTTCCATGCTTTTGCTTTAATTATAGTCAATTTCGGAGATCCTAAGACACGGCAGTCAAGAAATGCCCTTTTTGCACCCAGCGCTTCAATTCTGAGTTATATCTTTTGCTGTAGGTAATACTGCCTAAGTAGTTGGATCTTATCAGGATGTGAGCATTTTTAGGCTTTTTTCATGAGGTAGCCGATAATTTTAAATGCTTGACCAACTCCTAAAGAATAGGTATGAAATTTGAAAAAGTTCATCCCACACCTCCTATAGGTAATTATTTTAATTACTGAGCCTATTCTTCATGCAGATCTGACTGCTAATGAAGTATCTCCGAAATATATATGATGATGAATTTCCATAATGCAATGACACACAGGTATGTCATGATTTAATTTAACTTTTAGCCACGCTGTTAGAATGCTCTCGAATATAGAAATTAAAGTACGCTGTAAGCAGTCTCTATTATGATTGATTAATACCCATAAACTCCAGAAACCTCTCTGGTGAGATCATTTAATAGAGTAGGTAAGTGCTTGCAGGTGTTTCAAATTTGATGAATTTCATCTGTTGATGGAAACTAATCAATAAAATAAGGGCGAAAACACACCCTCTGTTCTGAATGGAGGGGTTAGAATAGGATGATCTATTTTACCGAATTTTACTTGTTTAAATGGGGAAATAATTTGCTCTAATTTCTCACATCTGGAAAAATTTTGAAGAACCGTGAACTCAGCCAACCAAGCTCTTTCATAATATCAGGCAATTAAATTATCTTCTGTAAATTTTCCATTCCTTAACAAATTACATTCTATTCACAATAATTTAAGTACTCCATACCCGATTACTACAACAGAGTGAATGCAACAATCAAATCAACACATCTCTCGTCTCATTCCAACAAGCCCTCTCTTTATTTGATGTCAACATTGGCATACTCCTTACGAAGCATGAGTTACTCTTCGCTCTTCGTTCGACGTTAGCGGAAGTTGAAAATTCCCGCTTGAAACTTTGGAAAATATGGGAACCAATCAGATTACAAATTGACTCATCGACCGTGCTTACCACCCTAATTTATACGTCTCTTGCAAGCAACATTTACTCTCGCGGAATTTTAATGATCTATATTAAATTTTACCTCTCAAGTAAAGTCTTGATTCTGGATTTCATCTACTTATTTTGTTTGAAAAATCCTCTATTTATCAAATAATTTAAATCTGATACAACTTACTGTCTGAACCACTATTCCGTGGTTGTCGCTAGTCAACCTGCAATCCTGAGACCTTCGAGTTCGCTTATCTCAACCTAACCTCAAATGCTGGATTTGAAAGTTCCAAAGTCCGAAAAGCAAAAAACAGACTTTTTTCCTTGAAAGTAAAAGTTGAACTTTCTAAAAACTACACCGTGATACTGATGGCTGTTGACTAAGCCTTTGATGCGGCTGTTTGGTACAGCCTGCGTGTAAATTGCGTTCTTCCGGAGTTCTTTGTTTACGGATTTGTGACAACCCTGATCGTGATCGTGTTTGAACTTCTTCCAACTGGCTAGCTGACTGATTAGAATTCTCAATGCCATTGATGACCAGTCGGACAGCACCTTTCTTTCCCTTGAGTCTCCTAATTCAAATCGTGAGAATATCCTCCAAACCTCCATATGAATGAAACCGTCATCAGTTCTTGTTTCCATCACTTTACTTTGCTTCCTGGATTCCTTCTCTGCGATCGAAATGGATAATCTGAGGTTCGTTTCCCATGCACTTTTAAATGTTGTTTTTTTCGGGTAATTCTTATTCACCTCTAAAATATAGGAGTAACCTTTGACAGTAGTGTTTCCATTTCCTTTACTCTTCACCAACACAGTTGCCAATAGCTGCAGATGAAATGATCACAACATATTGGAAGGGTTTTTGCCCAGTATTGCCCTCACAGCTACTGGGAGAGAGCATGGTAATCATTGTCCTGAATCCACCCTAAGATTTAAGGTGCCAGCAAGCCTAGTCTCTATGAAGCATTTATACCTCCTTAAGAGCAAGATTTTTAATGAACTAGCATGGTAAGATGCGACAGGTTTTGGGGGTGCTATTTGATTAGTACCTTGTATTTTTGGTTCCTCAGCTGGATTTCTTCGTGCATCATATCGACGGTGAAACTACCAAACCACGTATCTCGGTTTGCGACGTCGCAGACTTCCTGTCATACTTTATTTTTTAAATGAAAAACTACTTAACGTCCAGTCTTGAAATTTCTGTGATTTTTCCTCTTCGTGCGGAGAAAATTCTGTGAAAATTTCAAGGAATGATATTGATTTGGTCTACCTCAAAAAAATAAAATGCGAGCGTAGATTTTTAAACACCGCAAACGATATACGTGGTTTGGTAGTTTCACCGTCGATATGCATGGCACCTAGTAGAATCTGAATGTTAGCATTTCCCATTTAATATCTAACATGGACAAATTTTTATCTTGATGTCAAGGATTTTGAGTATGAAAAAAAGAGAATAAAAAACAGCTTAACCAAATTCAGTCTTTTCCTTAATGAACTAATAAACACTGAATGTTATGGAGCCAGAGTCTACTGAGAGCAAATTGCAACCCCAGTACGACGCAGGAGCTTAGCTGTTTATCCTTATCAGTCTTAGGGTATGAGCATCAATAATTTTGGTGAAAGAAGCTGTACTAACAGTCAGGAGCATCTGGAATCTCATTAGTCGACTCTAAGTAGACTGTGTATTGTAAACTTTAATTAAGTAAATGAAGGTCTTTTCTACAAATTTGGAGCTCTGTGAGATTTTCTGAGTAAAAGCGGTGCTATACTGCAGAAAATTGATGATAGAAAGCTGAAAACCACTTAATTGCCATAATGAGTCAGAGAATTGTTAACTGGGTATTCATCTGATAGAATTCTGAATACTATCAAATAGTTAAAATTTGACAGTGAATGGTTCTATTTCAGTTGTCATTTTCTCACGAGATATCAGTAAATCATAAACTATAATATTTGAAATTGATTTTCAGTCCAAAAAATGAAACTCTCAGAAACTTACTTCTGAGTAGGAGGAAGGGAAAAACAATCGCTTTTTCCTGGGAGTCCACTTTAGTTTGTCTGTGATATCTTTCCACAGAACCTGACTCAAAATCAAATTGGTTTTAACAAGTTAATGAGTTGAGGCAGCATTTTAGAAGATCAATTTATCCTAAGGAGAGGTCCTGAACTAAAAAAAAGTTTCAATGGGGAAAGTAATCTTTATCGCCAAGGCTGTAGCGCTAGCTCTATGATCAGGAGGTCCCAGGTTCGATTACCGGCCAGGCGACTGGAGTTTGATGGTCTCAAATAATAGTTGCGTGGGACTGTTTGTAAGGATGGAGGGGGGACAGGACTGAAGCGCAAGGATTAGCCCTTGTAGGCTATTTGAAGTAGGAAAAAAAAAAAAAATTACTTATGTATCTATAATCTCTGTAATTAAACTTTTTTTTTTTTTTGCAGTTTGTACTTCTTAACATGGAATGTTGCCACAAAATCTCCTGTTGGTAGTGTGAGAAATGCTTTAGATCTGCCAAAGAATAAAGATCTCTTACCAGATTTTTATGTAATCGGGTACGTATACTGCTTTTGATTACAAGGACATCATGCAAAATCGACATTTTTGGCCCTCCACATAATCGAACATTTTCAGGACCCAGAGAATCGTCCAGTAAGCTCAGAGTCAGTGGACCGCCCTTACAATTCAAAACTTTGGAATCGCAGGTTAAAAAACAAGGTTTCAGGTAAACAAACTGCAACAGCAAAATCTTCCAATTACTCAGGTATTCCCAGAAATTGTCAGCCTCAATTTTTAGGAGTTCTTGTGAAAGTCCGACAAGTTGATGTTGGTATCATAATTTTACCAAAAAATCTAAGTATTGCATCAAAAGTTCTCTTAAATTAGCTGAATGATGAGGAAATGTATCTTCATGACTGCTTAAGCTGAAATCTTGTTTTTTAACCAGAAATTTCAAAGTTTCGGTGGAGGATTCAGTTTTCGTAGGACCCTAACAAATAATAATATTTTTGACTTTAGCTCCAGAAAGCACAGGGAGGAAGGGGTGTCAATACCTTTAAGCCTCTTTAACTTTTGATCGGATAAAGTTTTAACATTTGTCTTTTTTGCAGTGTAGGTAGTGATAAGATTATCAAATTATACCTACTCACAAAAAACTTGAGCTTCCAAGTGCCTTTTTTTCTTCTTTTTTTTTCTTCATAGGAAAGGATTATGAACTCTGGCTATAAAATGAGAAAATTGATTGAACTTGGGGGAGTGCTTGGAATGCTCTGCAACCTTGACTAGGTTTTTCTAGAGATCGGCTCTATGTAATCGAGAAATAGATTTCTATAATTTCAGCCTTTTAATACGCAGTAAAGTAATTCCAAAGATAAGTTATGTATACGTTAATATTCAACACCTTGTATTTTTTCTTTTAACCAATTGATCTCTTATTTTTTCCAGATTGCAAGAAGTGAAAGCTCAGCCTCAAAGCCTTGTCTCAGACTCGCTTTTTGATAATCCTTGGACTAATGCTTTTCGGTGAGATGTCTCTATCTTTATCCACATTGTTATCCAAGTAACAACAAGAAGCGTTACTAGAATTTGCATTGCATTTATGTCAGTACAAGACATTGAAAATCAATATATTACAAAGCGCAGAGAGAGCTCTGTCAATTCTTATCTTGCGGACAAAGCTAGAGCTAATTTAATTGTGAATCTTCTGCCAAGAAAACGAGGGATAAAAATATGAAATTGTGAACAAGTTTTTCTTAGGTTTCTATGTAAGCTTAATTTTATTTCTGAAGTGAAGCTTGGTGTGTATCATAGCTGATTTATTGACTGACGAGGACCAAAGAATTGAATGAGGAATGAAACGAAAGACTCCTCAAATTCTTGCGCATCTTTTCTGAGGTTATGATTTTCCTTTGCATCCATTGATCACCTTACTTTTCTGGACTCTCTCTAGTTTGTAATAATCCATTGATCGTGAAATTTGGTATTTTTTGCATTGCTGAAATTTCTGTTTAATATCATCACCAATCGACATAATGTAAATGCACCACTAGTTTGATTGAAAGTGTGCCATATCATTTCAGAATTTCTCTGTTTATCAGGAGCCTAAAGAAAATACCCTCTTTTAAAGTTAGCGTCTTGTATCATTTAATATAATTTGAATAAATTTACTGAATTTGCCATGTTTTTCATATTTTAATAAAAAAATTGGATGACAGTCACCCTAAATTAAGTTTAATATAAAATTTTAATGGAGTATACTGATTTCATGAACAATGCCTTTCTTAAATATTAAATATCTTTTTAGGGTAGTCTGTCAAAATTCCAAAATTAAAATCAGCCACAATGAACTCATCCAGCTTTTTTTTACAGGTATGCTTTGGCATCTCATGATTATGTGAAAGTCAAATCTGTTCGTATGGTTGGATTGGTGCTTACAGTATTCTCTTTACGCCAACATCTTGAACACCTCCGAGAAGTTCAGGTAGAAACAACTCGAACAGGAATCTACGGTTTGTGGGTAAGAATTATTTTACTGATTTTTATGATACTGATACTATTTTCGTTTTAGTACAGTCTAGTTTTATTCTCCAGAAATAAAAACCATCTCTTCACGATTATCTGTATCTCATTCACTCATACGAACAACCCAGGCTCAATGGGTCAATCAAGTCCAAAATGAAAAGTTCGCATAATGAACCCGTGTGAAGTAAAAACTTATTAACTCTGTTTTAATGCCAAAAGTATGCTGAGCGAATATTTTCATTTACCATAAATTCACACCAGAAGTTGCGTTTTTGAAGAACAAATGTTTGAGCAAGGTCGTAGCATGAAAAACTGCGAGTACTGTCAGGATCATACAGCACTTTTTCGGCCTTGTAGATTGAATGTTACATTTACCATTTTGCATTTTTAGGGTAACAAAGGTGCAGTGACAATTCGTCTGAAGGTATATGGCTGCTCCTTGTGCTTCGTCAACTCGCATCTGGCACCGCATGACAACAACCTCAAAGATCGGATCGAAGATTATGAAACAATTTTAACAGATCAAAAATTTGCTAGTAATGATGCCACTCAAATTATGTATCATGAGTAAGTAATAAGAAAACTTAGTGAGATTTCACTAACATTTTTGTATCATAACACTGTCCTAAAATCCCTTAAATCTACCTATTATTATAAACTTTGTTGAAAAAAATAATGAGTCTGTGAGAGCAGAAAAAATATTTGACCACAAGAAGAGAAAAATCTTTAGAGCCAGTAGAGAAGTTGTATGCAGCTGCTCGGGTCAGAGCATGGGAGTCCAAAATAAAATTGTATTCAATGTCATGACCAAACAGCTTTTCTGGTATGGTCATGTCAACAGGATGGCGGAAGAAAGGCTGCTTAAAAAGTTGCTTGATTGGATTCCACCTGGAAGGAGACAAAGGAGATGTCTAGTGAAAGGGGGCAACAGGGGGTTTTAGATGAAATAAGGGAGTGCTAACTCCCTGAAGGGCTTTGGGAGGGTAGGCGACTTTGGCGACTAGGTGTCGCAGAGCACCATAGAGTGCTATGAAAGCGGCTTTTACGTATGTATGCAAGTATAAGCTGCACAATTCAGTAACATTTTTTTCAAATTTATGTGTTATTCGGCCATCAGTCGTTTTGCTAATTTTTTTTTTCTCGTTTCTTTGCAAATTTCAGCTATATTTTCTGGTTTGGTGATCTGAACTTCCGAATCAATGATCCTGTTCGTTACAGCAGCTTAGAAATCGATAGACAAGTAAATTTGGCAAGGAAAAAGGAAGGTGATTTTAAGGAGTTACTCAAAAATGACCAGTTACGGCAGGTCATGGGAGAAGGACTTGCATTCAATGGGCTTTCAGAGGGGGATATTGAATTCCCTCCAACTTATAAATTCTCTCTGAACTCTATGGAATATGATCTGAAGTAAGTTACTTTTATTTATTTCTTTTTTTTGCCATTTTATTAATATTTTATGTGGGTACTACTATCAGCATAGAATTCAAGAATTGATGTTACATTTTCACAGTGGTGCCATTTTTAGGTTTTTGCAGGGCTGAGCCAAAAGTGGCTAAAGGTTTTTTGTTTTTTTTATTACTTATGTTTCAATGAAATGCTGTGCAACAGTGGTTGTGTATTTGGGAAAAATATCATCAGGAATGTCTATCCGTTTTTTCCTCTCTTGTCTTAATGAGCGGTTTTCTGAGGCCCAAGTGTAGAACTCCGGGTCGGGCCAGGTAAATGAATAACCATCCTCCACCTTTCCTCTTTAAATGGCACGCCTGAACACTCGGAGACAGAAACAAAATGTATCACTCAAATCTCTTGAGAACTGTCGTACCTTTAGACCAATTTATTACTAAACCTCTCTAAAGCTCATGTCTGTAGCGATGATGCAAAATGAAATTTTATGGTATGAAATTCCATGAAACATTTTTCTCAGAATATTTCACCAAATTTTAACTTGTTAAAATTTTCATGAAATTGAAAGCTCATTTCATCATGGAATTTTGCATCTCTGGTCAAGAGCCGACAAAATATAAGTACAAATTTCTGAAAAATCGAGTTAATTGCATTCTCAACAAACTTATTAAGGGATCAATATGCATCAAAAATTGGTTATGTTATCTAAGTAATACCAGCATTTTCAAATTTGCAAAATATGCTGCAGGCGATGGAGCTGTGGCACGGTTTTCCCTCCAGAGATGCAGAAACTTCCCAATTAAGATCGAAATCATGTAAACCAAAACGCCCTAATCATGCGACCATGACCATAAGGCCCCTTGCATGCAAAACGGGGAAAACCGTGAAAATGGGGAAGGCCAATCGGTCAATTGCATTTAAATTGCATGTATTTAAAATCGCCATGATTATTGCGCGTTTTTCGGAAAATCAAGGCGCTTTTTGAATGGAGGCCAAAGAAAGAATCTAGCTTTAAAATTTTTGGGAAGAGAAAGGATCTTTTTTTAATGGTAAGGCTAGTTTGAAAAATGGGGAAGTCAGTTCCAAAAATAGGATCCCTGTTCCCCTAATTTCTCGAGTCAGGGAAAATATAATTAATTACAATTCTTTTGCTCTGGACCCTCGTTGTATTCTATTAACAAAAGAAAAATCTTAGTTCCTAAAACTTGTTTAAACCAAAACAGTTTTTGCATAGTTAAGTGTATTAAACATTTCATGAGGTATAAATATTGCAATTTTTAGGAGACGACCAGCCTGGACGGATCGGATTTTATACAAAGTAAATGAAAATGCATACGAAAACATAAAACTAAAACTTACGCAGGACTCCTATCACAGTATAGAAAGTTATGGGATCAGTGATCACAAACCTGTGGCATCCCGTTTTACTATTAAGGTAATACCAACATATCTAAATCATCTGCTACTCCTTAAAATTGCATTTACAAATATTCTGCAGTCGATGACTCATGTTGAATTGACTGCTTACAAAAAATTTTTCAACAGGTTACCACCAGACAAGGTGGGAATTCAAGCATTTTTGTGTATGTTGCTTTTAAAAATTCCATGTTCCACAGAACTTGTTTCCTGCAAGGAATATTACTGACATTATCTCCCTACCAAGGATGTTTGCATGTTTATCTAACACTGATCATGAAAAAATTGAATTTCCACTCGAAAGAAAAACTGGAGTCTACGATAATACTATTGCACACTATGTCAGTTTTGGCAAGCCTCTTAATCTAGCAGTGTTCCATCCCTGCCCTATGTTGTTCAAACTATAGACAACCGTCGTGCATCAGCTGAGCCAAAGGGCAAAGATTGAGATTGTCATGTTTTCTTTCCATAGAGACTGTTATGACAACGTTTAATGTGCAATGTAACTCAATTAGTTTCATTCTTTTTTCTTTTTCCTTTATCATCAGAAAGTTTGAATTCACGCATCAATAAAAAAATTTCTGTCAGGAGTTACTCTCAGTATTTTTTATTGCATCGGTCAAATTTTGATGAGTTTTACCGAAAGTTTTGATGAGAATAGCATAATGCTTAAATTTGCACCTCTCGACAACCACCACTAGTGGTTCTTTAGGTCTTTTTTTATTCATGAGAAAAATAGAACTCTCAGTTAAGGAGAAGGTAAAAACATTCTAGTTTTAATTTTAAAAGAAATGGAGGCGTTTGATGCAGAAAGGGCACTTATCAGATGTGCAGAATTTCCACTGCTAATTTGAATTTTTGAGAGGAAACTTGCCGGAAAAATTTCTGAAATTTTTTAATTAGAGCGTCGTTAAATTTTAAAGAATATTTTCTATTTTGTAGAAGTTTAAACAAATTAGGTACATATTTTTGCTTTGATCATAATGGATGGAAACGATAGCAAAGATTCCGAGACCTTGCAATTGATAAGTGCTTGTGCACCCAGCAATTCAGTTGTAACAGTAATTCCCTCATCAGTTCCATTGTGATAGGGAGATATATCCAAGTTGCTGTGTTTTCAGAATTCTTGGAAGAAATTGGTGACAACTTCATTTTTATCCCTCCAAGAATAATGAATTAACAAGCTCCAAAATTTAAAAAAAATTGACCCAGAAATCAGGAATCTCTGTTTGAGGTTAAGCTTGACTGACGATGACAGTAGAGAGCTGTCACAATAAGGATTTATCCCATAGAGAAAAAAAGGAGGTGTTCGCATTTCGGGCGTCTTGGATTTTTTTGATGATGTAGATCAATGCGGACGATTTTTATCATTGATTTTCTCGGAAGTAGTGTAGTTCACGGGAAAAAGTCATTCTATATAAAGTGTTTGAAATTATAGCATGAGTTTATTCAAGCAAAAAAATCGGACATTATGGTCTGTTTTCCATACTTCGAATACCGGATTTTGCTGGAATATTGACGCCATGTTGTACCGACGTACGTAACAGGGCAAATAATCCTCAAGATGCTATCACCTCCTTTTTTTCTCTATGGATTTATCCTTATTATATTTTTCAGTTCACCCCATGAAATTCTTGAGTTTTTATAGCATCAACAAATTTATTCGTGTTCGTTAATGTTTATAGTTTTTTAGTTCTACTTTGATACATGTTAGTGTATATGTTAGTGTATATGTAAGTGTTTATGTAAGTGTATTTTAAGTGTGCTCTATTTGTAAGTGTAAGTGTATCCTTTTGTTCCCCATGTAAGTGTGTTCTAATTCTAATTTTTGGGAGAAAATGTTATGAATTCTTTTTAGATCTTCATTTTGCCCTATTTTCTGCACAAGAACTTGGTTTTTCCTATCCTTTTTTCAATTAGAGGTCAATCAGTACTATTGTAAATGTTAAGCAGTGAACAGGAGTTTTCCAAACGACACTTTCCTTTAGTCTTCTGGTCTCTATCAGAAAGCATTTTTGTAATGACACTGGCTCAACCAAATTCATGAGTAGTTTAAATGACCGTCCAATTTTCATTGCTCATCATTGGCTGAGGAAAATGAAAGGTGGTTCCCATGATGCTACCAGACATGGAAAAAAAAGGAGAAGAAAAATATGAATGTATCTCATATTGACTTGTTATTATGTCCATCCTTGTAACAGCCGCTTTTACAGCACAGCTTTGCTCTGTGACACTCAATTACCATTGCCCCCCATCCTCTCACAGATCATAAGGCAATGAGCACCTTCTGATCTTTCCCTCCACTCCCTGTCACAAACTTTTGACAGGACATCCACGCTGCCTCCTCCCATGATGGAACGGAGCTTTGGCGGCATCATGTACGGTCCAAGCAGTTGGTCTGGTAAGGATATGTGCTCAGAATGACAGACAATCGGTTCTCCTAGCAGGTTTTTGATCGAGTTCCCCTTGTGATCCCCGTAAAGTGATGCGCAAAAGGAAGATAGTCATGTCCGGAAACCAATACCTTTGAGTGCCTGCAGAAGTATGATTCAGATTCTGTCTGTTCTGTTCTTTCTTGTTCGAGAATTTTCTTTAATATTAGTTGATAACCGCAAAAGTTAAAAAGTTCTACCTCTACCCTTGAGGGTCTGTGAAAAAACAGTATTGCACACAAGTGACTACCGGGATTCTGTGGCTTTTTTCAGTGTTGCTCTTTGTTTTCGAATGAAGTTACATCAGCTGCTTTACCTGAAAACCTGCTTACCACCTGCTGCTTCACGTGCTGCTTGAGATGGAACATTCTAAACACCACAGAAGTTTCCAGTTCAGCGGTTGTGTCGATGGACCTTAACCAATAACATGAAGTTCCTCTGTTTTAGGTGTTCAAGGAAAAACAACGCCCAAAAATGTTTCGAAATCTGTTATCAACTTGGGTAAAACCTGTAAACAACAAATCCCGGTCTCGTAGGCAATCAGCCACTGCTTTTGGGAATGCTCTTTTGCATCCATCTCGCCTCCTGTCTCGAAGGCACCACCCATTTTGGAGGAAACACATTAGTCTGGAGCGGAAACATAGTAAAGAGGCATCCCATCAATTCAAACGGTCCCAGTCTCCAGTTTGGAAGCAGTCCATGAGCAGTGCTTCCACACCATCGATTGAATTCAGGAGTTCCAGGAAGCGCAAATTTAGCTCTTTCTTGAAAAAACGTCAAGACTCACCTTACCCCTCCGATTCCTCAGTTTCCTTCTCATTTAAGCACCACAAGATTCCCAGGGTGACAGGGAACCACTCACCAAATTGACACTTTGTCAACGGACCAGAAGTTAAAAACCCAGCACTCACTCAACCTACAAAGAGTCATGTATCTCCAAAAAAATCAGTACCAACTCAACTGCCTTGGTCTTTACCCCGCTTTACACAAAAAACCAAGCAGTAGAGCTTTGAGTGGTAGTAAGCTTCACATACTACACACTTAAACATTTGCCTCTAAATTACCGTACAAGACCTCTTCTTGAACCATGCTTGCAGATTAGTGTATCCACATGATGAATTTTTCGACTTAATTCACATTAATTGCAGCTACCCATCATGCTACTATCTTCATCATTTAGCAAAATGATAATGCTGCACACAAATTTGTCAAAACCTTCTGCCTCAATTTCAGGCGATGGTCATTCAATTTGCATCATCATCAGGCTCTTAATATCCCAGCAGTTTACAGGCAGTCCAGACATAGCTGTTCACAGTCGGATTACAGCAAACTAACTACCAAACAAACTTGGCAACGGCCCACTGATAGGGGATGCTTTGAATGGTCTAAAGATTCAGAGGGCTGCCAGGAAAATGGACACTAAAGGACTCAACTAAAACATCAAATGCTTGGTTAATAAAGTTGCAATCAAAATCGGTGATCCAGTATAGGCGGGTAATCGATGAATGCGACTTTGACTTCGTCGATCTAATCACAAATGAACATATCGATGACTTTACAAACGAACTCTCTTTATGTCGGGTAGCAGATTAAATCACTAACTTCAGATCGGGAGGAGCCACAAACGAGCTTTTGCTATAAATATGCGAGTACTTATTTCTTCTGAGGCAGACCGGAAAGAATTTCAAAGCCAACCTCTTCTCCGTCAAAATTAATGACTTCAAAGTGCTAGATAAGGAAGTCGATTCATTGATAAAATTGATTGAGCTCCAAATTGAGCACCCCAGTGGCTTCACCTAATGCTAGTGTTAAACAGAACACATGTCCTGCTGTAATTTCATTCCTCTTAAGAGATAAAAAAAAGCAAGAAGGAAAATTGATATCAATCTTTCAGATGAAGATATTGTATGAAAGAATAATGTCATTTTCTACATTTCCTGTATCTTTATTACTGCTCTAATTACATTCATAGATTGTCACTCCTCTGACGTAAAGGCATATCTCAATTTCCTCAAGAGCCCTATGCTCTGCGTAAGTCTATGTTTTCTGCAGCCCATGTGAAAAAAGAGATAAACTCTTACGTCAGAGGGATGATGCGATGTGCAGCAGTTGATTTTTGGTGATGATTTTTTCTGCCTTAGACAACAAAACCTTGCCTTCTTTGAAGTACTGGAACTATTGAGGTGGAAAACCTTGTATACTTCAATTTCTTAAAATGACCCAAATGGGGCTCTTTTTTAATTTTCTAAAATGATCCTGAGCATACATGAAACACATCTTAATCAAGGCAAAGTTTCAAAGCAAAAATCACACGAAGTCTTCACCAAAATTCAATTGCAGCACATCAATGAGTGTAGTAGAATGTTTAATACATTCTCTTTTAGAATTAGCATACTTTCATCAACATAGTGTCAACTTTTTTTTTTTTAAAATTGGGCAAAACTTGAGATGGTAGTGAATTAAATTGTAAGAAATGACCCTTTTTTTCAAGAATCTGAGAAGCATATTCAATCAGTTTGCTAAAACTTTAAACACAATTTACTCGGCAAGTTTTTAGATTTAAGGTCCAACATTTTGTAAGAAGTAACCATTTAGTGGTTTTATTATAAAAAAAAAAGATGTCCATCAAATTCCCAAGCTGATGGGTTGTATGGCTTGTATGTTTCACATGGAATGACCCAGTAATAATGTCTCCGGCAGTCATTTTGTAATTTTAGCCTGTCTTTGCCGGAAAATTGGTGTTCATTGTACCAGTCTACACGAAAGCATTATTTTAACAAACGGCAACCCAACCATCTCAGCACAATCTTAATGAAATGTAGTATATGCAAGTTAAACTCAAATTTGTGAAGAAATCTATAAATATTTTGAGGATTATATCATTGGAATTTTTACGGAAACTTACGAAGCCAAACATTCTTCAACTTTTCTTCAATCAATTATGATTACTCTAGTTACTGTGATATTCATTCAATATCCTGTTAGCTTTGTAAGGTTATTTTTGAATTTCAAAGGGTGTGCAGTTATTTTCCCTCTCCTTTACTCGTCCTCTCTCCTTCTTTTATTGTAATGCCCTTTCTCTGAGTTCTTATGGCGGAGTAAATATTCACACCTCCTTATAATACGAATCCTAACTCTTGAGTAGTATGTACCCCTTTTGAGTGTTCCTTAGTCTGAGCATGGCCAACATTTGCATACCTGATCCGTTCCAGCAGGGGTTGTCTGTTACACATCAAGGTTAACAACGTTGATCCATTTATAATTACCACCAAGGAATGTTGATAGAGGTATGATATGGCAATAACTTATTTTTCGATAAAGGTGAAAATATTATTTTCCACCAAATTTTGAATATCTTACTTTTTGTGAGTAGCAATTCAGCTCAAAAGATTCTTACTAGAAGATAATAATCTGCTTCATTTATGTTGAAAGAAACTGTTAACTTTATTTTTTGTTCTGATTACAGGTTTTCAGCAATCATGTCGAGCAGCATGTAGAGTTTGTCGTCAACTCTCAGTGGTATATCGATTCAGAAAATTGTGTTCAAATAATCTTTGATGCAGACGTCAAGCCCTCAAAGGCTGATTGGATTGGTGTGTTCCATGTAAGTGCTCATTATTGCGTTCAACTCAAGTATAATGCCCCCGCCGGGTAGCTTCACTTTGTCATTGCATAGTAACTGTGACTGAAAAAAACCTCTCACAACAAGTTTAAACACCCTTTATACTCGTACTATTTTAAAATAACAGAATAACTTCTCTGTTGTTTCACTGCATTGAGTTTTTTATTCATACGCATTTTTTAGTGCTCCCTGAGAATTTTGTGCCAAGAGTTCTCTCCGGAATTTTCTTTTATTAATTTCACTTCGCAGTTATCAGTAAATTATGTTATGAAAAACCAGTGCTTTTTTTCTCATTTATGCCATCGCAGTAACTCCAAGTATTTATTCAAATTATCTCTCGTTAAAAAAAGGAAGTAAGCTTTTGCATCAAACTTTCTCATTTGTAATAGTAAGAGTGATAATTGAACTCTTTGCGTGTTTTGACTTTTCAAGGACAACTTCACAAGCCTAGATGACTACGTAAGCTACTCTTACCTACCTGACGAACAGGATAGTGATCAGCAGTGCTCTGCCTCATCAACGCCAAGTGAAACGGCTCCCTCAATCTTCACCCTAAGTCGTAAAATGTCTGATGGTCAGCTAGAACTCAGGGTAACACTCACAGACCAACTAATTTCTGAGCCTGGCCTCTACCGCTTGGTGTACTTTACCAAGGACTCCCACGATGTTCTTGGAGTCTCCGGTCCAATCTCCATTGTAAGTCGAGATTCTGCTTCACAGAAACGAAGTTTAGACTGGTGACAATCAACTGTCACTGGGACACAGTCCAGTGGATATAAAGTCATTTAAGACTTCTGTCAACCTGTTCGTCTTACAGCAGTCCAGGCCATCGTTGTTGCTGCTCAAAAAAGATGAAGCATTTCAAGCTGATCTTTAACCGTTGAATTTAAATCTGGTCTTAGATAATATAAACTAGAGAAAAATGTAGTCAAAAGAAGATAATCAATGTCTTTGAAAGAGACGGACTTCTCATCCATCTCATACTTTCTTGTTTGTTAGCGATCTACTTTGTATTTATTACTTTAAAGAAATGCCGACTCAGATATAAAACTAGGTTCAGAATGGCCAGGAAGTGCTGTTAGTTTCTGATCATAACAGCTGCAATCATGTTCTTTTTTTCGTTACAACAACTAGGCGTCAAATAGCCAAGTCTGTTAAATTCTTTTTTCACAACATACACGACATACGATTTTCTTGCAGCTATTTGTGGTACTTCATACTTGCTATGATGCATCAAATTTTATACCTTTACGCTTCGGGTTATATTTAATTGGTGTGGGATTTGTTCGGGTGATGTATTCTCTAGGATGGAACATCTTTCATTGAATTTTTGTTGTAAATTTTTGTGCGACCTCAGTTCTGTAATAGTCATGCTTTGCATAAGCTGCAACTGCATGTACAATCCACACAATGTAATTAGTCCGTTATATTTTGAAAGAACGTTTTTTAAATGAAGTTCACACTCTAGGGTAGAAAAAGTGTACGTAATCGAATTTTTAGAAAAAGACCTCATTTTTCCTCAGGAAAAATTCAATACTTTTTACTCTATATATTGGTGGAAAGTCTGCTTGATTAAATGTACATTCCAGAACTTTTCAGTGCAAGCTTTCAAATGTGCATAATATTTTTATCATTATCATGACAATTTCTTTCATTTGATGCAAAAATGCGAAATACCGTAGACTCTCTTGCTCTTAATGATATAAACTATTGTTATCAATTAAATTCAAGAGAGGGCTTTACATATTTTACTCATGATGTCAAGTGAATTTCCTTTGCCAGAAACGTCTTTTTGAGATCTCAGACTCCTATTACGTCCTTTTACTTGAGGCTTCACATAAAAGTCCTTCTTTTTCAGGCACTGTCAGTATGTGGTGCAAGTACAGAAGAGAGTTGTAATTATGGTAACGCATTTTGCGTATTAATATTAAATGAAATTAATAAAGGAAAAAAGTCTTGCCTTCTTGCGTTTTGTAGTACGCAAAAAATGCAGCTATACCAGTGTGTAAGACGAATCTCATCTCTTTTACTTAGTTGTTATCTCAGTAAATGCTATGTGTACATGGCATAGATATTCTCAATCCAACATCAGTAGAAGTAGCCAACCCTTTTATTTTCAAATTGTTCAATGCCATTGGTTTGTTTTGTCACAAAAAGACTTCAGTAGTTACCATGGTAACCTTTTATTTTATGTATTTTCATAAATTAATTAGAAAAATAGCATTAAAAAAAGGTTAAATTTTGATTAATTATTACCTGTATTATTGTTACCTCTCTTAGTTTAGTTACTTGGTATTATCATCATATATGGCCATTTTCCACAAGTAGTTTAACCGAGCACTAACAGAGAGTGCATTAATATCGATAAACAGTTCATGATTTTGCGTGACTGAGTGGTAGTTTGCCTTCTTGATTGATATATTTTGGCAAGAGGCTAAGAAGTAGCGTTATCATGTTTTGCCCTCTTTTTAGCTGCTCTTCAAATCTCAATTCCAGCTACTGTTACTGAGGCTGAAGACAAGCCTCTGTTGATTTATAATTTTGCTTTCAAATAGGATTCATGGCCTATTTTTCATTTTTCAAATTATTTTAAATTATTATGTGCTCATTTTGACTGTATTTTCTTCAAGCCGTAGGTAGTAGTCGAATACTTCTTTTTAGTTTTATTAGTTTTTTATTTAAAATACTTGTTTCTGTAATGTTAAGAAAGGGAAATTCTAATGGGTAAGTTGTTAATTCTGTTGTTCCAAAGTTTTATGTCGTTATATTTTTGATACCTATTGACTTTTGTACTTAATACTCACAATTTGAGAAGAATGATTTATTTTTCAAATGTGCGATCCTAATTTAAATTTTCATTACGTATAGTTGTCCTTTTGGACTTTTTCCTCTTGTTTCAATGGTCTCAAATCCATTATCTGCAAAGGCTTCGCTATCTCTGCCAGACTCACCACTCAATGTAAAATTAAAACGCGATGTGAAGTATGTCTCCTAAATATTTTATTTTAGATCTATTCTTTTCTTCTTGAATTTTTCGCCATAACTTCAGTAGGGGTTGATGATAAATTCGGTAACTTTCTCTTTGAAAAATTTAAAGTACAAAATATGTTCGTATTTTGGCCAGCCTCAAAAGAGGTCGATGATTAAATGGACACAAACGTTTTTGTCATTGGTTTTTTAAAAGGATGGTGTGATTTGTGGAAAAAAATTCTTACTCCATTTTGTGTCGAAATATGCCGTAACAATGAATGTTATGATCTGTTTTACATATTTTGTATCATTGATTTTGCAGAAACATTGCCATACCGTATCCACCTACATTATGGAGTAGATAAATCAGGAATTGACAAAAATCAGACTGTCTTCTTTTTTTTTCTCCATGAAGTTTAGCGGCTAATGGATTTGAGAACCAAACGAGAGTTCTTTGATTGTGCAATAACTAATTATCCTCTTGCGCTTCACAGACAAAGCTTCTATCTTCTTCAATTTGTTAATTCTCTGCTACTAGGTGTATCCAGAATAAATTAGTTCTGTTTCCTAGTATCTTTGTGGTTCTTCTATTTCTGTATTTCTAGAGAAAGAGTCCAAGGCCCGAATGTTGTTGGCAGATTTGTGGCCAACTGCGATTGAGGCAAGAATGTTGACCTTGTTATTCAATCAGTAAATAATAGTTCGCACCGTTACGGAACTAAGGATGGCTTAAGTCTGCTGTGACAGAGCTTCTGGCCGTCTGGAAATCTAGGACAGTCAGGGACAATCAGGGAATTTACGGCGGCCGGGGAAAGTCAGGAAAAACATAAAAAAGTTGAAGAAATTTTGCGAGCAGTGTGTAATGGTGGTCGGCGTTAATTAAAAAAAAAAATCTAAGCAAAATTTTTGTTGAAGAGTCAGGGAATTCGAAAATTTTAGTGTCAGGGAAAAGTCGAGGAATCGGAAAACAAAAAAATTATGAAAACCTCTTGTAGAAAAAACTCAACTTGCATACAGCTTGAGCTTAGAATATAATTTTGCAGACTTTTGGTTGAATTTAGAGAATAGATTTTGCAACTTGCAGTTGATCGTAGGCAACAAAATTCGAGCCCTGGGTCCCAATTTCATTTAATCTAAACAAGTGTCTCTTTGACAACTTGTTAGCATGATTCATTGAACTCTCCGATTAGGCATGTCAACTCAAAAGCTTATTCCCTTGAGGGTAAAGTTAACCTATGATACAACGACATGGTACACAAAAATTTATCTTGAGTGTTTATCTTTTATTTTGATCATAAGTAATTACAACTTTTTACAGGCCAATTTACAAATATCATCACAGTAATTTCTTTAACAAACCTAAAAAATTAAAAAAATCAATTTCAAATCAACTAGAAAATTATGCACATTATTTACATTCAATAGATTTCACGGTCAAGATGCGAGAGGCATAGCTCACAAAAATTATATCAAAACACAATTAAAAAAATTAAGAAAAAACAACTAAACAAGGGAGCATTTGACATGGAAAAATACCGCATAGAGAAATTCTCAATGAAAATAGACAATAAAGTCAAATTTTTAAAAAAAAAAAAAATAAATAAAAAATAAAAAAAATAAATAAATACCTACAAAACGGAGGAAGGAGAAAAGAGGGGGAAGTCACCGCAATGAAAGTTAAAATTCCGAAAGCAGCAAAATCCCTTCATAATCCCTAAATGGAATTCAAAGGAAATAAACAGGACCCTAAGATTTTGCTATGCAATTTCTAAACAAATAAATTGGACTTTCTTTCATGATTAATGATGAGGGCCCACCTGGCCGGAGAATATACAAAGCTTTCAACAAGTTTTGAGACCTTTTCAAGTTATATTGGTACAAAACAAACGCTTTGATGTCTAATGAGCCTCTAAACAAGGTATGAATTAGAGTTCAAAGCAATATGTTTTCTCTCCAAAATTTTGCAAGGGAAACGAATCGAACGATGGATGGTCTGGATATAAACTCCTAGACAAGATTTGAGCGTTTACATTTAACATTGGTTGAAAAGCAAAAATACAATTAACATCATCCTCATAGTCTAATTGAATCAATGAGTTCGAAAACACACCGACTCGGGTTTTTTTGATTTTCACTTTTTTACGGTTTAGTAACACTTATCAATAGAAACATCTGCTTGCAAAGGGAAACTTCGAAATTGCAATCGGAAGTGCTCAAAACAGGGACAGGAAAAGGAAAAAATCGAAGTTTTTCATTGGAAATACCAATTTTTGGCCATTTCAAGGGAAACGGGTGACCATCCGATTTTGCGGTTTTCTTTCTTCGGTTCAGTATATCCTTTACGAACAAGTTATATAAATATTCAAGCGTTATTCAGGTCGAAAAAATAACTCGGAAATTTTTAAACGCTTAACTCTCTGTCATCAAGCATGGTGTATCGATTTAAACTTGGTGCTTTACAAAGTCTCTAGATACTTGTCCTTTGGCACCAATAAGGTTTTTCTTAAACTAACTTCTTCGAGCTGCGCAGTTTTAGGTGTTTCCTAAACAATTTTTTTTCCCAGAGTTGGTGTGTTTTCGAACTCACTGATTCAATCAAATAGCTTTGTAGAAAAAAAGCACATACTGCAAAATCGCATTGTAATAAAAACTCATTTGAAGTTCTCATTATTACTTCCTGGCCACTGATGGTGAGTTACATCAAAACTTGGACACTTGGATCAAAGTTCATACACCCTAGAATGAATAACAGACGTTGGTAAAACTTAGACTTCTTACAGGGTTGTGGGAGGAATTTTTTAAAAACGTTTTTTTTCTACATGGCCTGTTTTTTTCAGACCTGGTCTGGTGGCCAAATTGTCTATGTAAAAATTTTACTGAGACCTAACAACACAATTTCATACTATTTTTGGCGAAAATACATGGAGTTGAATAAACTAAATTAATGCAGGGTTAACAGTTCTTCAACACTCTCAAGTTTGGTTTCAATTTACATAAATATGTAGATGTTGCTAAAGTTAACACCCTGAATGAAGTTTATTTACTGGGAGAAATTGCACAACAAGATGATAGGTAAACTAGAGTTCTTAGAGCATACATAATTTTTGAAGTTGAACTACTTGAAGTCTCCTTCCATTGATCCTTGACAGAGCATTTTTCAAAATGATGCACAGTCAACAAAAAATAACTTTACAATAATAAGGCGAACATTATTCTGATCAGGATTCAGTCTGACCAGATAACATAAAAACAAACAAGTCTTACATGAAATTCATTGAAGGAACGATTATTAGTTTTCAACAAAACAAGCTCTCAGTCCTTCACAATAGCAGTTTACTAATCTACATTATTTTTGTAGATAACTTAAAAAATACATAGAGAGAGAAAGAGAGAAAAAAAAATTATAAAAACAAAGTTTACATGGTAACTAAATAATTTAACACATACCATTGATAAAACCAATGTGCAGAACTTTATTTTTATCTGAAGTTCCTCATCCTTCATTGAGTGTCCTAGGACGTTAATGCAGAAAATTTTAAGTGAGTAATTACCTCCCTTTTTTTGACTTAGAAATGGAAAGCCAGAACGCAACAAGTTTTATATACTGCAAACTTTTATTCTTCCATAAAAGCTTGGCCAAGAAAAAAGCTCACAGAAACTAATACGCCCATTTAGGGATCAAATCTTAATTTTTGATTTGGTTTTTATTTGAGAATAATTACGGGATTTAGTACGTAACATTTTCAAGGGCTGGGAGGAGCTCTAAAGTAGAATTCTGAGATGTTGCAGTTGCATGTGTCATAGAATTCACTTCGATGGTTGATAATTATACATCAGAAAAAATACAAGCATTGGTCCACACGCTGAATTGTTCTGTCACAAACTAACATGAATTTTGAATTCAAGAAAAACACAGCAAAAGACATTTTCCCTCCACAAAGATGCATACCATGGTTCCTTTCACTATGGTCTCACCTCACCGGTAAAGCATCAATGCAAATGTAAGAAAGTCAATGATCGGTAAGACCAAGGTGAATGACACAATGATAGCGATAAGGTGATGGGTTCGATCACTCATATTATTTTTTAAAAGAAGTAATGAAGTTCTGTCAATGCCTTAAACGGAAATAAGTTGTTTGGACCAATGGTATCATTTTTTTGCTAAACTATAAATATCAACAATAAAAACACAACTAATGATACGCACAACAAACATATTATAGAAGATTTTGTTGAAGTCTTATAATGTACTTCACTTTAACAAATGCCTTTTTTGGCTAAGGCTACGAATGAATGAAAAAATTACAACAACCACATTTTTGGAGAATTCAGGCAAAATCAGAGTAACATAAATTAAATGAAGATAAGTGGTAAGAAATGGGGGGGGGGAATAACAAATTTTAATACATTAGCATACCGAAGATATGTTTTCTGATCTGGCACTTTTTTGGAACGCTAATTAATACAAAAATATTTCTGCATTACATAAGGCATCCTTTTCTTGCTATATACACTAGATAAATACATAAAATGACAAAAGATAAGAGCACAAAGCTTTTAAACAAATAAGCTCAACTTCTTCCCCAATCAACTTCGTAACATTCATAAAAATTAATATCTGCAGAGTCTGTACGAGGAATGATGCATGTCTTAGCATGGAAGGCTCTCCGAAAAGTGGAGGATGAATTCACCTAAAAACAAGAGTCTTAAACTGAGCCATTAAGTGATAAGCAGAGTTAGAAGCTTTGGTAAAGGATCATTTCATTTCGCAGACACGAGAAAAAAATTCTTCTAAAATTGAGGAAAAACGAAGTAATGATCGCCAAAAAATAGTTATAAACTAAAGTCAGCTAAGAGATGAAAAACATTAAATATTGCACTCATTGATGAACAGCCCCTATTTAAAAATACATACAAATCAAACTTCTACTGTCATCTAACTAAAAACTTGGAAAGGGGGGAAGGGGAAAGAAGAAATAGACAGATTGAGATCTATACGGTGCATTGTGATAAAAATTAAAGGATTCTAGGGGCGTTTCTTCTGCTTCAAGTTGAAATATTAGTAATAAATCTGTAAAAAAAAAAAAAAAAAAAAAAAAAAAAAAAACTTGTTACTTTCCCTAAGGACTCTTTCTTCCATCATTATTCATCATTAATCAGGTTCGTGTCTTCTATTTTAGTTACCTTAAAGAGAGACACTATTGGTTACTGACTAAAAACTTTTCCTGCATCAAAGAGCGTTACTTTTTAACAAAAAGCTATAATTCTTATCAATGGGCAAGAAAATTTCAGCTTGCTTTAAAAAATTACAAAAATAAGCCTTTTTCAATTTTTAAAGTTAAGAATAAAATCTTCAAAGATGTTTGAAATTCCTGATACATTAAAGCAGGGGAGTGAGGGGGTGCGAGTTGTTTCTGGAAAACTTTCTGGTCATTAAAAAACAGACAAACAGCAGTAAAAAAAGCGGTGAAATGGCATTATGTAATTTATAAATGGTCCGCCAAAAGTATAAACAAGTTTAAGAGCACATTTTCAGTTTTGAGCTAAAAAGATGATCAACTTTTCAATCGATAGAAGTAATTTGGGTGTTAGTTGATACCAACATGTTTCTTCTATTCATTGATAACTCAGTTTTATTTAGTTGTTATTCAGTTAGGGGTGTATCGTGAACCAAATTCAGATTGGATACGTGTAAGTGAGGCAAGTTCGTCTACAATAGGTCTCTGCGGCAAATAGACTTCTTATCAAAAAATTTGCCCAATTGTTGCTACAGTAGCTTTAATTAAGTTTGACTATTTTTTATTTGCTACAAGAAAGGTTAGCCCTTCAAATTTCACCTCTAGAGATATCTGCAAATCATACTTTGCGTTAGGTTAAACATCAACCTGATGCTTGAAATTTTGTGTTCGTTGACTTGGCAAGAATAATGTTACGTAATTGGTTGGTTTTAACAGGAGTCTTATAAACGTGGCTATGTCAAATAGATTTGAAGACAAAATATTGGAAACTTAAAAGATGACTTTAGCTTCTAGTCCATTTCATCCGACATAAGGACGACAAAGCCGGTTGGCGGTTGGGATTGCTAATCACTTTACTCCATTTCTTTTGTCCAATTGAAAATCACAAAATTTAAACAATCCAGCTGCTACTTCATCAAAACTGAGGGGAGTATTACTCTTTAAGACCTTTCATTTGCTAAGCGATAAAAATTACCTGATTCCACAATCACTTTAACCCTTGTACTTTGATGGACCCATGAATATTTAACGGGTCAACAAAATTCAGGACTCTTTTTCACGTTTTATCACCTTTTTTCTTTTGTGTATTAAGTGCCGAGAAATTAGGATGGATCTAAAAAATTTGGTTGGAGAAGCTCAAGATTTCACAGAAACTGACTCTTGAGAATTGATACTAGAATTGACTTGAAGAGCTAATGACCCCCTGTTTACAGTAAAAAACAGCTAAAAGTTACGGCAAGCAGGGATTGCTCAAAATAAGCACCAAAATCTTTCAAACAGCAATTTTCAATTTCTGAAACCTCATATTTCTTCAAAACAAGGGTTATTCCAAGCATTTATCCTTTTAATTGAGATATGTAGGTAACAAGGGTCACTCACTAAAAATTAAGATGTTTTAAACTTGACTGAAAACCAATCAGGCCTCTCCAGGTAAATGAAAGCTCAGGAAGCTCATGATCAGTGATATTATTTCTGATAAAGTTTAAGTTTATATGATGGAGACTTGGCGGTAAAATTTGTAGACACCATCCTGAAATGACACTTGAATTTCAGATTGAAAAGAATACTTACACAACCAGAAATTATAATTCTTCAGAGGGAAACTAAACAAAAAATCATAAGTCTTCAGAAGGAAACTAAACCAGACTAATAAGAAAAAAACGCACTGTTGAAATACATTTCAAGTCCTTGTTCCATAAAATTTGTACGTTCTACGGATTAGATTGAGGAAAATATTTCATGTCTTCTAACAGCAGGAGTAATAGAGGTAGCAGAGCTGTGCTGCACCAGATATCAATAACTATGTAGAATTTGAGTATGAGGAACATACTTGGAAAATAGAACTAAGACTTTTCCAGAGAAAGGAGGAGTATTTCAGAATTATTATGAAAATAATGGGTTAAACAGATGTTGTGCAGTTTACATCTTTATACCATTAGTTTTGCAATCTCTATTGGTATTTGATACAATATACTGTATGTATACATATGTACTTGTGAAAATCAAAATTTTACCTTGTTCTTGACGTAACGGAATCAGCCTTTTAAAATCACAAAAGCAAACGAAATACTTCTGGCTACGAGTTGCTTTCTGACTGACTTTCACAAAGCCAGGCCAATATCGCCATGAAAAACCAGAATTTGCTTCCTTCAAGACAATTAAATGACAAGGCTACTGGGAAATTAATTTGACATTTTTTCCGATTTCCCTTACAATACAGACAGTAGACAATGAACTGAGAAAAAGTACTGTTACATGTCCGTTGAAATAAATCCTCTGCGACTCCCCAGAAAGGATAAATATTGAGCTCATAGCATACCATTAGATCACAAAAGATCAATGTGGCCAACTGCTTTGAAATTAAATACTCAATTGATACTTGGCTGAAGTTAATGTTGTTGGAGACAAAAACTTTTTGCATCAATTAAAGACCAAAACATAAAAAAGAAATAAGAAAAAAAAGACAAGTTCAGACAATGCTCTCTCGCTCTAGCTGTAAATCAGTATAGCCAGCTGTTTTTCGAAGCGAGACATCACTATTACGGTAACTTGCGTTATTAAAGAATTTAAAAAACCACCGGCTGCGTAGAGACCCTATTGAGATGAGTTTGGAATTTCGTTTGACCTGAATATCTTCTAAGGAGTGCCATCGCTTCTGTTCTGTCAGCAAAGGAACTGAGTGTAATGTGCCGTTTAAAACAGCTCCACAATTTTCTAGGCAATGAGACTGACTTTCCTGTAACAAACATGAGAAAATATAAAAGTTCTATTTAGTAAAAGGATCAAACCATTAAAATCAAGGCATTTTTACAGTTTGAAAGGGAAAATTGTTTGAGTTTTCCAAGTAAATTCACTGGCAGTGCGCTACAGCCACAGCTGGGAATTCTCGCTTCTTGTTTTCCCATAAAATCCTGTCAGAGGGAGCACAGCTGAAATTCGGCAATGGTGGACACAAAATGACTCACAAAATTATTGGTTATTATTCTCGATCCACTCATACAAACTACTTGTTAATGTTCTTAAAAGTTCAGAAGTTATGAGCATGAACAAGTTTTGACTTTAAAAATGGCAACACTGCACTTAGGGGGACTGAAAACAAAATCAATGGAGAATTTGCATGCAAATTTTTTATTGCTTCATCTGAAAGTGCTAAAAGAGCTGATTCCACAGTATATTTAATATTTTTTTCTGATATGGAAAATAGTATAAAAATAGATTTAAAAGTGAGAAAATGTACTGCCTGCCTAGTCATGTCATCTAGCAGCATTTCCCATTTAAACACACGTATTTTAGCAGATTAGATCATTTCGTTATATCTTCTCAAATAATTGTTCAATTCATGAACCAAGAGCATCCTTGTGTTCAGCACACTCAGTAGTTTCCCTTTTAAACACGAAATTCGTCAAATTTTAGACGCCTGCAAATTCTCTATTATAGATATGGAGGCTAGAAGTAGCTTTCTATCACTGAAGAGAATTTCTTAAAATTCTGAAGTGGAAGATTTTGGGGGGTTTGTGCATAATGTCCTTTAAAATTTTGACCCATCTTCACAAAAATGCTTCTCCGACAATTTTGCCTTCATGGCTGCTAATGCTCCTTCTGTTGAAGACAGTTACATAAATAAAATCACTGACCTGTAGGGAGCGACAACTTCTTTGGATGAGAGAGACTGACTGTGAATCAAGCTGCTTGTCTGGAAGAGGATCCATTGAATAAGACTCGGATATCCTTTGACGGAGCTGATTTGTTGGTTGTGGCTCAGTGCTTGTTGGAACCCTGGGTACACTTGAGTGTCTCCTACTTTCAAGGCCCCCAAGAAGTTTTGGACTCCGCCTTGCAGCTGGACGGCAGAACAAAGGCGGTGGTAAAGCTGCCAAGTCAACCTAAAAACATAAAAACATTCAAAATAATGACAGATGCTGCTCATTAAAATAAAATAAGTTAATATATACACAATATTTCACAATTTTGATGAAAAGATAAGTTCCCGGAGCCTCATGTCAAGACACACGAGGACCTTTCTGATCAAACAGCTTATACGTGTATAAGCAGTTTGCTCGGAAATTTGCAATGAAGATAACTCATACCTTGAATAAAGTACCACTTGAGTCTCATATCAATAGCTTCAAAACATCGGCAAATATAATTTTAAGGTTGACCTATCAGTGCATTTCCGAGCAAACAGAGTATACGCACATGGTGTCTTTGCTTGGAAATTCTTTACACAGTGCATCATGCCAAGGTATGAAATGAACAGTTTACGTTTTACCGTACTTTCTAACCCACAGGCATCATTTTTAAGGGGGAGAGGTGTTTGAAACACCCATAAGTGAACTATTTGGGGGAAAATCCTCCATTTCACTATGTATTGTTTACCGTTTATCAAACAGCTAACACTAAAACTCAGTGCATCAAGCCTCTTTTGGAAAATCAGAGCCATAGGACTTATCTTATATCTTTGATATCATTAAAAAAAAAATTAATTGCATCAACTTATATTGCTTTTATTTAAGTATTCTCCTCAGAAACACCCTGTTTCCGAGCAAACAGCACATAACATAACTTCAAAAATTAATGATTCATTAGGACTTTTTGGAACCTACCTAGTTATTGATGGCTGCCAATCGATTGAGTGCCATCAATAACCCTGTGACCGTCATCCCCCCCCCCCCCCCCCCCNTCACAGCACTCTCCATGACTCCTGAGTGGCTGATAAGGATGAAAGGGACTTTCTATTCCCTTATAAAGAGAATAAAATTGCAAAATGTGAATCACCTTTGCACTGATGAACAGTGATTTCTTCACCAGCAAGATTAGACCCGAGATAGGGATAGAAATCACACCATTACAGTTAGTTTACTCACCTCGCGTCTTTTGACAGCAGTATCAGTAGCACCAACTAACCAGAAAGTTAAGACCTCTCCTTTGCCCTTCATTTTGACGAGGCCTCTTTCTTCTATAATATACCCTCCCAATTTGTCAAGAACTTCTTTGCAAGCAGCGCTGATATGTATTTTGAGAGGTTCGCCAGTCGATTCCATACGACTTGCTGTGTTCACTGTGTCTCCAAATAAACAATACCTTGGCATTGTTAGTCCAACTACACCAGCTACCACAGGGCCTGCGATCAAATTATCAACATTTAAAATTAAAAAAAAAGGCTGATGACAAAATATCACCTGATCAGATAATACTACAATGACCTATATCTTTTTGTTTGAAAAAACTTAACTGGGTAAATGCTACGTGTTTAGGAAAAAAGGCGTTTTATGGATAGCTTCTTTTTCACAACAATTTCAACCCAAGTGAATAATAATGAGGCTTATGTGACTTTTGCAACAAGCTTGTCTTCAATGGCCCAACCCTCCACTATTTTCTTCAACCTTCAATCTTTATTAAACTTTTTGGCGATAACACGGTACACTGACAAGATGAATTTCGAGATTCTCTTTGCATCTCTTAAATGTTAGGTGAAGTAGGGAAGAAGGATTACACGAAGTGCTCTCCTGCCTCGGATGACAGAAAAATCATTAAAATATTTAAAAAATATCATTATTATTATTTTATTTATCATTAAAATCATTAAAATATTTCATTCAATCTCATGGTAGTGAGTAGGATTCATCAAAAGCTTTATAGATGAACTGTCCAAAGAGAGAATTTGATTTTCCCTTTATTAATGAGTCTTCATAAAAAAAAAGAAGGAATAAATATGGAGGTTTTAAGTGGTAAGTCTAGACAAGTACACACATCTATCCTGTGCTGTCATGTCGCAATACACCTGAACACATCTAGGAGAATTCCGCGATATTCTCCACATTTTCTAACTTAGAAAGGAACGCAAAACTATCATCTCAGTGAAAATCTGGCATACTAGTTTTAGAAAGAGGCATTTGTCAAGAGAAATATATGTCTTCTCACCTGTATGAACTCCAATTCGCAACATAAGGGCATCATCAAGTTTATGAGCTACATGATGGTTCTTTACAGCCTCTAGTAGGTCAAGTGACATAGAGGCAATTTCACCAGCGTGATTATTATTGTTCCTCTCTGGTAAGCCAGACACCTGAAAAAATCACAAGTAGGTCAAAGGTATGTCTCACTGGAATAATAAGTCGGACATGTTTTTAAAGGCCATATCCAAGGTATCTAAAATATCTGATAAAACTTGACTCAAATAACCTGAAAAAAATCTTCAAAAATTCACAGAATTTGGACTGGGATGATTTCTGAACATTGACTTTTACCTCTCATATGTTAGATCAGAACCAACTACATGAAATGCCTACCTACTTGTAAGTTAATACAGTCCAGCATTAGCTTCTTATGCTTATTGAGTTTGTAATCTTTGCTAGATCAAACATGTCTAAAATTTTGTTACTATTCTTAGCTTTTCCTGTGACCAAAAATTATTTTAGCAGTGCATTGGTGTGATGTTTTTGAAATATATCAGAAATGTTCTGGGTGCGAAAATGTCTTTCATATTTTTTTTTTATTATTATATTGGCTTTGACATAAAATTTCTTGACATACCGGATAAAGCTCTTATGAGTACTTCTCCTTCAAAATTGTAGCTGAACTTCAGGCATGAGAACGAATAATAGTGATTTTAAACTACTGGAATGAGTCAATTATCAGTGAATACTTACACGTTTTTGCAAATATTTGTTCACTTTTACTTTTAAGACATATTGGTAAATTACTTAAGAATATTCTCACAGTTTGAGATTAATCTTATTCTTTATTCAAAAAATTAATAATTGAATTGTCTGTTTCTCACTCGAAACGAATTAGTTGGGCAGTCCTACATACCAATTTTCTTTCCACAGGAGAAAAAGAGGCAATTTACTTATAGGAACTTACCACCATGTAAGCATCACCAATTGTCTCCACCTTGTATACATCAAACCCTCGAATGATTTGATCAAATAGGGTGTACAGATCATTGAGGAAATTCACGACCTGCGATAATAAAGGTTATTCAATTAGATAGGTTGTGCAGAGAAGAAGATTCAGACGTTTTCATATTATTGAGATCATCATAAATGTTTTTCCTTTCATTTCATGAAAAATTTAAGAAAAACCCCTTGATAATATTATAAAGGATACTTCATAAACAAACAATATTTTTTTAATTAAGTATAAAGTTACGCAATTTCCGAAAACTCTTAAATGCCTTCACCTTCAGTTTCAAATTGGTTATAAGTTTCTACAGGTTACTGTCCATCATCTTCAGCCAGCGAGTTGCGACTGAACTTGTATGAAACTTGTCAGTTGCGACTCTCTTTCTGAGGATACTGGGAAGTAGTCTGTCAAAACATATGTCTGAGCATTATGGAAAGCCAGAGGAAATTAGGAGTTTTCAAAAATTGCGCTATTTCATACTTATTTAGAGGCCCCTTTCTTCAACAACTACAGACAGCTACAAAGACTATTTACCATAATTGGAATTATTAGAATCAATGGTGCTTTTTAACCTCATGATGAACTGTAGCTTAACAGCTGCCAGCCTCAAGTCGCTGGGCCTAATTGCAACGTTGTAATACTTCTCATTTCGTTTCAGAGGAACTTTGGGTAAGCAGAGTCAAATGGGTTATTTGAATGAACAGCTTGTGCACTCAAATTCTTTATATCCCATTTTCTATAACTGCGGCTATTGCTATCAATTTTTTAAATGATGCTCATCAAATACATATTTTGTCAAAAAATCGAAAGTCCAAATGGTTTCCTTATTTTAAAAGAGGTTATTAATTGCTCAAAATATCATCCCAACTCAGAGTCCATCAACAGTTAAAGCAAATGTAAACACTGAAAAGTTCACATTCTTGTGAATGAATACAGTGAGTAATATTTTATTAACTTGAAAATCTGGCTAAGCTGTTATAAACAATGTACAAAAATTGCCAAGAAAAATTTAGGCGTAAATTGCATTGTTTACGCAACTGGTTTCTTACTTGCTAGCCATTGTCTGCGGCTTGGAACTTAGCAAACTTTCTAGAAATAAATCTCTTATTAAACAAAAAAACAAAAGGCAACGCATGCACTTAATGAAGTATATTTTTTACAAAAAATGCCCACAGAGAAATACTCGTAAAATTCACAAAATCCGAATGGTACGATAAAGACAAGCTCAGCAAAATACGTCACTACAGACACGCAGAGTGCTGAGTGCTCAGAAGGATGGCGCAGCATGGCCAAGCTGCATGTAGTGACGTTTCATGTACTCTTACAAATCACTATAGCTGCTATATGGTATCCTAGATCACAGAATAGATTTCACCTCTATTCATCATCAATTCGGTCTGTTGATCTAGCTTAAAATGTTCTCAGGTTTGTCCTCTTTTGGAAATTCAAAACAACTTATTGAGTCAACAGTAGACAATGTACTTACTTGCAATGGAGAACTCTTAGCAGACATAGCAGTAAAACCTACAATATCACTGAAGTAAATTGTGACTAGATCATACTGTTCAGGTTCGACCCCTTCACCGCGGGTGAGCCTTGAGGCAACGGGCCTGTTAAAAATCAAAACAAAAACAAATGACAGCTTTCTCATACAAAATTGAAATAACTGAGTTAGAAACAAACCATAATTTTACGTATTTCTGCCAAACAGAATTATGTTCATTATGAAAAGAGCCCTGTTAAGCATGTGTTCTTATGGGTCTTAGGACTCATGGCTCAATGCACATAGTTCCATTTGGCAGAAACACGTTCAATTGAGCATAAGTTATTCTACTAATTCTCTAACTTCTCTAACTTAGTGCGCAACAGTGTTCATTATAGAAAGTAGAATATCTGATCATTTTAACATTTTTCAGCGGTGATATAAAATTTCCATTCAGCTCCTATTTTCTTTTTTTGAAGAGAAACAAGCAAACTCGACAACGTGAAATTTATTTCTGCTAAAGAAAGAAGAATAATCAAGGAAAAGCTGCTCAGGAAGTTTCTTAGGAAACATGACATTGAATAATATAGAAATTAAGCCCGCGGCAAATTTCTTGGTATTCAGTGAGCAGTCTTTTATTATTACCCTCACTGTTTGAATGAGGGAAATATGTAGACTAAAGCATAAGAATTCTCTCATAAAATGTTAAAAAGAAGTTTCGGATCAAGCGATGTGATTCTTACCACCAGTGGCGTGGCGTCCATAGGTTCGCAGTGTTCGCCGAACACCCTAAAATATTTTGAGACAATTGATAAATTATGGCTAACAATGTGGGAAACAATACAGAATAGTAGACCGCAAATAATTATCGGGAGATTTTCTTCCGACGGCGATATGCGGCGTGGCGGAGAGAAAGAATCCTGAGACGCGGGGTCCGCGAGGGGCCACCGATCCTGGATGAGAGTGAGAGGGGAACGGGCGGGGCGAGCTGCCCACTTCGGTGAGAAGAGAGAACCTCGGTGCAATGATGAAGAAGGGTCGGTAGACGAGAGAGCGGGAGGCACCGGCGCGGAGGACAGAGCGGAGCGGGAGCATTGAGTTCGGCCGACAAGTGCGGACCGCGCTCGCGAAGTGAACATAGCAGAGAGAAAAGGGAACAGGGAGAGAACGAGAGACGAGAGTCGCTCATCAGTCCAGCTGTTTCCTTTGCCAGTGGTCCGCAGGTCCCTGCGAACGGCCGAATTTCCCCTCTGCCAATTCGTCCTACGCTTCTCCTCTTCGCTTGCGGGCAGCGCGCGGGCCGCATCTCTTAGTTCCACATTCCTCAGTCTCCCGTACTTATTCTCGCAGGTGCGTGTTGTGCAATTCAACGTGATCTTCTCCCCTTTCAAGAAGCTGGAATTATGGTTTCAGAAGAATACTGAATAAATAATAAATACTTTTTGAAAATTTTAATTATAATAAAAACTTTTTCAACAATTTTTTTTCATTCATTTAATCAAAAAATAAATCAAATATTCCTTAAAAAAATAAAAAAAGCTATAAAAAAATTTAAAAAATAAAACAAAAATGAAAAAAAAAACAAAGAAAAGGGAAAAAAAAACAAAAAAAAACAAGCGGGAAAGTTCTAATACTGTCGTATTCGAGAAGTGCTCGGCTTTTTTCTGTGTCGTTTTTCGGCGCGTTTTTAAGTTTCCTATGCAGGAGATGAGCACCGTCGAGGTGAAAGAACTCTCTCACCAAAATTACAACTATAAATTTGGGGGAAACTAAAATTCACTAAAATAAATAAATTACAGGAAAACGATCAGTGAAAAAAAAAATAAAATAAAACGTCAATTTATTGCCACAATTTTCACCAAAAAGGATGAAAATTGTGTTCCACCAGAAAGGATGAAAATTGTGTTCTTGCGGCTTCATTTTTTAAAAAATTTTCCGGGGGAGGTCCCCCGGACCCCCCTTTCATGGAGGGGGGGTAAACCCCCCCTGACCCCCCCTTAGGTCGTTGACACTCCTACCGAACACCTATCGGATAAAGTCACGCCACGCCACTGCTTACCACCATAGCATGAACAGCAGGAGAGGGATTTTCTGCTTCATATGTTCACTGTTTTTCTGAGATACTACCATGAAAATAGCAAAGTATGCAAAGGGGACCAATGCAATATCTGGAACCAAATACTTACGTGGGTAGCATCCGGTGCAAGAGATCTTCAGTCTTGCGTTTCTCTTCAAAAACTTCCAGAGTACGTTGATTGACTAAATCTTCTAAATTGTTAGTGTATTTCTCCATCATGACCATCATTTGATCCACAATATTGCGTTGTCTGCAATTGACACACAATAAATTAGAGGCTAACAGCGTAAAGGCAGTCTTTAGAGTTTGGGGGCAAAAAAGCCATGCTAGGCACTGAAGTAAGATATTCTTTGGGGCAACTGCACTGAAATTTTGATGGCTTTTTATTTTTACATAGGATGTTTCAAAATGATCTGGACTGGCAGCGTATTTCAGAAAGTAAGCGGCCTATCAAATTGATCCTGGTCTTGTATGACAGGGGATGTTGGAAGAAATTAATTAAACCAAGATCACTCGATTTGAACAAAAATTGACCAAGTTATGGCAAATTCAACTGGTGTAAACGGCAATTGCGTAAGGTTTCTTTTAACAATTTACCCATACCAAAATTTGCCTGAAAAACTTACAGTTCCAGTATGACTCAAGACCTACTAATGTAAAAATCTGGAAATGAATTGGTTACAAGAAAACAATTGGTGAACTTCGGCTGCCATGCTGCTTTTTTACACATGAATGTCTAGGATGGTCTTTATTGTTTCCCGTGCCTTTTTCGCAAATTTTTTTTGAAAAATTTTCTGTTTTTCTTTTCTTTTAATTTTTTGTCTTAATCCTTTATAAAAAAAAATTTCAAAAGAGGATACCTACGAGAGACAATGAAAATCCGCACATGACACAAAAGCATAAAAATACAAAACTTGCAGTAGGAGCTTTATGAATCATTATCGCAAGACTGATTCACTTGAAGACTTTGGTGTCATTCCTTACAATTATAAAGACTCTACGACATGGACAAAACTTCAAAAACTATGAGGCAAAGATAAAGTTTCTAATACCCCTTTTAGAGACTGAATTCAAATCCTTGATTTCCTCTAAGTCGTATTCCGATTCTACAGTATTTGAAGAGTTTCTTGACCATCATTTAATACACTTACTTTCCCTGTTTCATGTTCTTCAAACGACTTCGTATGGAAATAAAATCAGGCCGTAGTTCTGGCTGCTCAGCCCAGCAATCTTGTATTGTTTGCAGAACAAATTCTGCTCCTGCTTCACAGTCCACCAGCAAATCCAAATTTGGTCTGAAAGGCGCCTCTCCTGGCTCAGGTACTCTTTTGACTTTACTTACAATTTCTGCCAAAAAAAAGAAATGTGGAAATTAAAACTAAAGACAAAAAATATTGGGTCTAAATTCTGCATTGAAATAATAAAATGTCCCTCAACCCTCCTTAATATAAATAAAATCCTGTTGATGATCTGTGACTTCGACTAGAAAAGACTTGATCAATTGACATCTTCTCCACTGCGGAGTGTGTGAAAAAGGTAGCTCATAGAAAGCTGGCACAATGATGTCTTTTGATTAGCATCCATCAGCAAGTTTAATACAATAAAAAAATGGGAAATCAACCGCGGTACACATCCCCATCAGGAGTTTGCGGGGTTCTTTGTTTTGCTATGCTGAATGGAGAAGGGAGTAAATGCGTCGCAGGTTGTCACTCCACTCTGCCAGCTTTAGCTACACGGACATTGAATAGCTCACCCTATATTACTGTCAGCTTGATAGTTGTATAGATACCTACAATGGATGTTTCAATGCATCTACGAAGAGTCTACTTTCGATGAAACATCTTGTACAATATATGATGGAAAAAGAAAGGATTACCTTTAGGCTCATCCACTCCACAGGCTCCGAAGGGCCCCCGCCTTCCGATTATTTCATACAATATAATGGCAAAAGCATAAACATCGGCCTTTTGAGTGCCTCTGATGGGTGCATGGATGTCTCTCAGCAGTTCAGGGGCTTTCCAAAATAAACCTGCAGAGCAATAAAGCGAATATCTGTGACCATTAATGGTAAGTTTTTTGGAACAACATTTAAACATTTCGCAGAAGTGCAAAATATGCTTAAATGTTCAAAGATTGCCATGAAATTAAAAAATTGTGATGAGCAAGGCCACATTCTAATAAGCAAAATTGGCCACTGAATAGGTAACTTTTGGATATTCATAGCATGGTTCCTGCAAGGCAAATGGGAACAAGAAAAACTGGGGGTTAATAAATTAGCCTGAAGACTCTGTGAAAAAAATTGAATAAAATAAAAAAAACTAAAATCATGGATGACATTTGTATGCATTGCTGTTGTGAGTGTAAATATAACAGTGTGGGGCTTCGTCATGGGATAGTTTCAAAGCAATGTGCAGACATTGATTCAAAAAAAAAAAAAGAAACTATTGTAAGTCAAAGAAAAAAATAGAAATGCTGCTGTTTCTTGCTGATAATATTTAGATAAAATAGTTCTGCTTAGAGATGTTTGACTTCTTCAAAATTCTCATGCACCATTGACTTATGTTTAATCACTGGTGCACCATTTAAATCAATGAAGAATTAGATACTCACTTCTATAATACTGATGTTCTCCTATACTATCATTTTCAGCACCATGACGCAACTCATGAAGGCCAAAGTCCGTTACTTGCAACACCCACCGTGATGTTACAACACAGTTAGAGGATTTTAGATTTCCATGACACATAAGAGGTGAGTTATGTAGGAAAATCATACCCTGAAACATAAATATTAATTCTTAAGTCAATATATTCATCTCATGTTCATCTTAAAATTTTTCTAACAGTTTTTCTGACTGTGTTTCTACTGGTATGCTGCTTAAGTAATTGTGCATTAGGTGCAGATACAGGCAAAGCCTGCAAAAGCAGTAGTACAGACAGCTTGAGCAGAGTTACCCACTATGAAGCAAAATCAGTCTCTGAGAACACAACTTTTGGGAAATTTTAGGGGAAAAACATTTTAAAAAAAACTTGGGTTATTGAATCGGTCCCATAAATCTGTGAGAAAAAAAAAATCAGCCCGCTTGTGTTGACTTACTCTTTGTCCGATATATTGTTGATTGTTATTTAGCTGATTACAAGATGTCCGATGTGTTACAGGAGTCGACATCAACAAGGCAATAACAAGTGAATATACAGGTTAATCACTCTTAAGGTTTTTAAAAAAAGTTCCTTTACAATGCAAACTGTAAGTTCTTAATGTTTTACCGTTGTATCGTTTGAAGTGTGCAATAATCGTGAAATTCACACCTGCCGATGAGTTTAACACTCGAAATGGCCATCGCATGATCTAAATAACAATCAATAAAGGATCAGACCGGAACAAAAAAGTAAGCCACCGCAAGTGATAATGACATACGACAAAGTGCAAAAACCCCTTAGTTTACTAAAATTAGCCTGATTAGAGACAGTAGGGCTGGGCACTTCCCTTGTAAAAGTGTGATCTATTGTTTACCGATGAATTCTGCAGCTTGAAGCTAACTTTTTCTTTTAATTTCTGATGCTCCTCACCAATAATTTGAAATTCAAGTATTTAACATGAATTTGACTTACCTTTATTAGGTCATGCACCAGGAAGGCAATAAACATCTTATCTAACTTAATGTCTTCATTTTCTACGATATCCTGAAAAACAAAGATAAATTTTTTTATAGATAGTTAGTGATAATTGAATCTAGGATTAGCGGAAAGGAACGAACACAATCGCAGTGTTTTCGAAATTGAGGGGACTTTTTTGTTTTAGAAAATACTTAAAATATGTATAGTAATAACATCCACACAATCATTTTCATTTTAAAGTACAAATTATTAAGTACTTCAATAGCAAATGATTTTTTCCTATCCTCTGCATATTTTTAAAATATAACCGAAGAAACCTCGATCTTTCTGACAAAGTAACCTAGTTGGTTCACTTCTACTACGAGCAGTCCAATTTTTTAAATTACAGGTGGATAGGTTTTCATGATTTCAAAAATTTCTGACCTAAAATGACGGCAGGTAGTGCAAATTAAAACTAGAAAACTGGTTGATTAGAGGATAGATTGAAGGATTTTTTCATTTAAACTTTTGTGCACATGGAATATGATAAATAAAATGTTCGATTGTAATGGTTAGCAGCTGAGGAAAAGGAGTACTAGATAAGAAGTAATCAGCAAAGAAATATGTACTCACTTTAGAATGGTTCTGATCTTAGTGTATTTGAAGTTTCGGTAACACCGTGGTTATTTAGAGAGATCATAGTTGACTATCAAGTATAGAAAATAATTTTTTTTAATTTTAAAACTTCTGATATTCTACAGTTCTACAATTTTTCACATAATAATACAAATATGTACTTAACTAAAAAAAATTGTAAAATAAATTGTAATACATACATATAAACTGCCTTTTGCACAGTAATCTGTGACTATTAATATCCTCAGAGGTTCAACAGAGGCACCAATAAAAGAGTTAACGTTATCATGCCGCAGATCCCGGAGCATTCTCATTTCTTTCATTGTTTCCCTGGAAATATCTTTTTTTCTGGAAAACTTCAATTCTTTAATCCTAACTAACATGTTGCGAAACTGCCCTGTTGCAGCAAATACTTGAGGACCACATCTCGATTCATAAGAAGTAGCACTAACTAAACTTAACTGCAACAGAAAAGAATTTGAACAAATACATTTAAGAAAATATTGAGGTAAAATAGAGCTATATGATCAAAATAAGACTAGGTACAGTAATTGTCTCGAGTCTGGTATTTTTAAACACTTTTGAAAGGATCAGCATTCTCTAAGTATTTAATACGGCTGGTTTACTTAACCAAATCTCTGATTTGTTCTTACAAGGAGTTTTTGTACATTCGAAACTGGAGGGGCCAAGAATTTTCTTCAGAAAAAAAGGTTTTTGGAATGGGAAGATTTCAAATTACAGAGAGCAGTTTCAGGAGAAATTAAATAAGGAGATCTTCAAATAACTCAACAATTCAAAGAGGGATGGCCAATCACCAGGGTTAGGGAAAACTCTTTCGAAAGAAAGCCTCTATCTACATAACGGGAAAATTTAGTTTCACCATATTTAAAGAGAATTTTTGGGGGTTTGGTAGGTGTTTTTTTTTTTTTTGTTTTATGGCACTTAAAACTGAAAAGGCACATTGGAAATTTTATTAGAAAACCTGGGAATAATATAGTTTACAAACAAAGACAAAAACAACGATACTGAGTTGAACTAAATTTCAGGAGAATTCAAGGAGAGACAATTGCAAAAAATAGGGTGTTTTAAATCAAGCACTTTCCTCCCTTAAAGGGATTAATAGTCCTTAGAATTTCAGTGATTTTTTTCCTGCAAACCTTATAGGTTTGCAGGAAAAAAATCACTGAAATTCTAAGGACCTATAAAAAAATACCTCTATATTTTTTTCAGAGAAATTCATGATGTTGTTTAAGGATTATGAAAATCAAATTAAATGAAGTTTGGAAATATGATACCGTATGCATTTCTGAAAGAATGTTATTAAAGCAAGCATTAGATTATGACTTACTTTACTAGGTGAGGATACAATGTCATTGCCATAATAGCCAGTCAAGTCTGAAGGATCTATTTTCCAAAGCAATCCTTCAATTTCTTGCTCTATTTTCCACTTCCTATAAATACTTAAAGTTATGACCATGGCGCAGAACAACAGAACACCTAGTGTTCCAGCAACAATTAGCGCTGACTGATGGGAATTGTCTTGTAAGCACCGTTCATTATCGAAACCACAGCTTGGCTCATCAAAAGGTTTAATACCACCAGGCCAGTCAGGTTTAAAATCAGGTTTGATTAATCTGTACTCCTGCAAAAATAAAAATCACAAAGAAATATTAACTTGGGTCTCATAGTACATAATTCAATAATTTACTTCGTAAATGAAGCCAGTGTGGCAATAATGATTCAAAAAGCACTTCTCTCAGCACTCAAGAGCCTGTGCATGAAAGTAGATTATAATCAATAGCCACTACAGCTTAGCGGCAGTCTTAGCTCAGATTCCACTAGTCTTTGACTCATCATCCTCGCACAAGCTTCATTCACAGGACTAATTATCAAGACTTCAACCGAAAATTGTGGGGAAAAGGGGGCTTGTAGAAATTGTCACAGTATGACTTCTGATCAAGATCAATGGACGAGTATGATGCAATAAAAAAAGTGGAAATAGGTGAGGGTGCACATTCTCATGAGCAATGTGCGGGGCTCTCAACCCTCCCCCCCCTCCAATTTGAAATATGTTCACTGATAAAAATTGTAAAACTACTTTTTTAGAAATTACATCATACCAGATAGTTAAAGTAAAAACAAAAGATAAAATCAATGGCCGAACGAATTACCTAACTAATAAATCTCAGCGAATGAGCATCTTTTATGGGAGAATAATTTAACAGAACCATAATTTAAAAAAAAAAAAATGTTGGAGCGTCAAAACAAATTACATCAAATATTTTGATGCGCTTGGATTTATTACACTTATTGCAGTATTATTTTTCAATAACTTTACGAATGAATGTTCCAACATATATTTTAAAAATACTATCCCATATAAAGTGCACCCTACTTTCAATGTTTAAAATACCTCTTGTTTCGATAGTTTCTAAAACTGACAGCAATACCCTTAATCATCTGATGTAACTTGAAAAAATTGAGATTAACTGAGATTTTATTCAGAATTTACAAAATTTAATATACGAGGCACAAGTCAAATGGTAAAACGTGATACTGAGTCTGTCGATGACAAATAAACTTGCACAATGGATTTCTTTAAGAGAAGTTAAGTAAGTTGGTATTATTGTTAATGAAATAACAGTTGAAAGTGATTCTTACTATTTAACTGACTCACTGGCAAACTAGAATTGATGTTTCCGCTGTAAAATTGACCCACAGGCACCATGAAGTGGCCGCAGGAGAAATTCTTTTCACTAAAACGGTGCGGTTTCAAAGCTAAAACAGAAAAATTCCCCTCTGAGTCTCCGTTCTTATCCAATCTGATTGTCGCTCCTGTAATACCTAATAACCAAATAATTAGCGCATATTACTTCATTTTGAAACTGAATAACGATCAAAAATATCATACAGAACTTTCATGGTTTGATAAAAAGGCAAAATAGATTAGTGACACGTAGCTGGAATTTCAGATTTTGAAATGTTTCTAGTGGAACTTTTTGTGGCATTTACAAAGTTCAAAATTGAGTAAAGAGCCTTTAGAGAGCTTGAATAAGTTTCATCAAATTGAAGCAGAGAAATAGGAAATCAGCACTGCACATGACTATATGCTAAAAAAGCACACCTCAATTGCAATTTTTAAAAATCTCCGATGTTTTATTTTCTTAAAAGAAAACTCATCAAATATTTCTTGGCAAATAATTCACAGAAAATTTCGATAAAAACTGTTGGTTCGATTTCTTTCATCAAAGTCAAATATGAGCAGAGACTTGCTATGTTGAGATCAGAGATATGATTGAGTAACGATTATGTGGATTAATTGGAAACCGACCAAAGTCCGATGATTGGAAAATTAAAAACCAATGTCTGAGACCAATAGAAGTAACGTTTACAAGAAAAAATATGACCTTAAGATGTTTCCACTTTTATAAGCTTAGACGGATGACATGCAGCATTGTTGATCTTAAATCTCTCTTTCTTCAGCAAATTCATTTCTTTCAAGGACTTTTTGACTGCTAGTGCTGGGTATTTTGGCCGCGTATAGCTGCCAGATCAGTCCGGATAATCGACAAGCCGGATGATGGCAGTTTGGATAATCAAGACTCCACTGCATGCATTATTCGACTGCAGCCATCAATTGACTGATTCATGTGAGATCAAACTCATGTGCTATGAGAACAATTGGTAGGTGAGTCCCTACTGACTGTGATTTTTCCTAGCTCATTGTGTATTTTCTGTGTCAAATCATCTAGGAAAGTTAGGTATCAATTTGAGAAATATTTTACCACAATTTGCCCTAAATGTATTTCAAAATAACAAGAAAGGCTGTCTACAGGGTTGTCTGTTGTACTAGTGGCTGCAATAGAAAATGAAGTGATATTTCTGGTTGTGTGACTGTTCACTCTGTCTCCGAAATATCTCATGTGCACATGTTTTTGTGTTTAACCCTCTGCGGCATAGCGATACAAATTGCATAACAACATATTTTGGGGGTTTTTAAAACTTGAATTGTTCCACTGTGGCATAATTTTGCAAAGGACTACGTGCAAAACAGGCCATTTGGGGCTCGGGGCGGATACCTTTGAGACTTGCCCTATTCATTCACCTAACAATGCCCCATCTTTTCCCAAAGTTCCAAGCCCCCCAAAAATTTTGGAGAGACGCGGCGGGGGGTCAAAGTTAAAAACAGGCAAAATTTTCGCGAATTTATTACTCGAAAACCAAGAAGTTTTCGAAAACGCGGTTTAAACGAGCGTGTTCAGCGTGACGAGAGCTTTCAGAAAATGTATAACATCATAGGGTTTTGTCAACTTCAGCTCGAGTTATCGCCTCCGAAGCGCCGGAACGCTCAAAAAAGACCCCTTATTTTTTCACGTTTGGGCCGATTTAAAAAAAGCCATTTTTTTATTTTGATGAAAAACTGATATGTTGTTCCAGACTCTCTGTAGCCCCTCTGGCTCTTTACCGCATGCTGGGGAAATGTTTTGGTTGCGAGTTATAAGAGCGGAAAGCAGCGAAGGTCGTGAAAATCGGCTATTTTAAACTGCGCGCGGCGACGGATAAGGAGACATGCGGCAACAATGCGAGGTCGGCAGAGGAGTGTGATTCGCCGAACTGAGTGGGAGGGGACGTTTTCCCTCCGATCAACGCCGCGCGCGCAGTTTAAAATAGCCGATTTTACCGACCTTTGCTGCTTTCCGCTCTTATAACTCGCGACCAAAACATTTCCCCAGCATGCGGTAAAGAGCCAGAGGGGCTACAGAGAGTCTGAAACATCATATCAGTTTTTCATCAAAATAAAAAAATGGCTTTTTTTTAAATCGGCCCAAACGTGAAAAAATAAGGGGTCTTTTTTGAGCGTTCCGGCGCTTCGGAGGCGATAACTCGAGCTGAAGTTGACAAAACCCTATGATGTTATACATTTTCTGAAAGCTCTCGTCACGCTAAACACGCTCGTTTAAACCGCGTTTTCGAAAACTTCTTGGTCATCGAGTAATAAATTCGCGAAAATTTTGCCGGTTTTTAACTTTGACCCCCCGCCGCGTCTCCCCAAAATTTTTGGGGGGCTTGGAACTTTGGGAAAAGATGGGGCATTGTTAGGTGAATGAATAGGGCAAGTCTCAAAGGTATCCGCCCCGAGCCCCAAATGGCCCGTTTTGCACGGAGTTCTTTTCATTAGTTTTTTCTTTTATCGAATAACAGATTCCCTAATCTTTAAAATTTTGTACTCTATGTTTTATGTGTAGGCTACAAAAAAGATTAATCTCCCCCAGAATCTGAGATCTAAAATTAATTCATGCCATAGAGGGTTAAATTTTACTTACGAAAACAGCATATTTTAAAAATTACGATCGACATGGATTAGCAGAGCCTTTTTGAATCTTCGAAGGCATAATTTCTGCATTGCATACAAGTGCATATGAGCAATGTATGCATACGGAAAAAAATGATATCATGGTTCTGTTCAAGTGAGCCATGTCAAATACAAACTGCCGAGACAAAAACATTCAACGAACCGATTAAATCAGAAAATGAGACTCACTTTGATAATGTTCTTTTGTAATAATGGTTTCTATGATTCGCGTGCCATTAGATGCTACTTTCTTGATAACATCAGGGTTCAAAACAGGTTCCTGCCGCAATAAAGAGTCTAAGGCGTGTGCGTACAGCTTTACAGAGTCATAAAGATACGCAGCATAAACTGTAACAAACTAAAAACAAAAGAATTAAAGGGTATGAGAATCAATTCTTTAATTGAACCGATTATTTTTAAAGGCCATAAGCGTCCAAAACTTATGAGCTCTAGAAGTTAACTATGTTAATTCGAATGAGTTATAGGATTTTTTTTTAAATACATATGATCAAAAGGATTGAATTCTTAAGAAACATTGCTATTTGCTCAGTATTTATACTTAGGACGATCCGTTTCTGTTGATTGATAAAAGAAACAAATGAAATCATAGGGAAGAACCAAATGATGTTTTCTTAAAGAGTTGCAGTACTGGAAGTTGGTATAAAATAAGATTAAGGGAATAAGAGTATTGATTGAGAAAGAAAACATTGATCTTACAGGGAATGTTGCCGCTCAACTTACGAACAACCTTGTGAGGTTTCTTGGTCTCTCGAAAAAAAAATAATTGATTCCAAGTTTTTGGGGCACCAACGATTTAGGGTCCTTGTAAGTTTATTAATCATACCCCGAATAGGCTTAAGGGACTTATTTTAGTACTCGAACATCTTACCAGCATTGCATGGTATGAGGGCCATTCATGTAAATAATACGTTGATTTTTTAGTTCAAGGCTTGAGATCATCATCTAGTTCAAGATCAATGCCCTTAAACAGGGACCATTTGGCAGTTCTGTGATTCTACTGGTTCCAGCTCTTAAATGCAGATATAAATTACTTGTCCTAAAAGCCTATAGGGATTGCCATACTTACGAGGAAAATTTTCAAAGCTGCCTTCCTTTTTTTCTCTTTTTTTATAGACTCTCCTGACAATTTAAAATTAACTACTTTGACATTTTTCCCGATAGAGCTACTGCGGGCCGATTATTGAAATTGATAGACAAAGCCATAGACAAAAAAGACATAGGGAGTATGGAGCTATCCTATTGGTTGAAATGGGTGGTTCCTATAGACTAAAGGAGAAAATGATGGACTAACTATCGGGTCCCTCGTGGGTTGCCGTTAGTTAGTCTATTACCTACCTCCTTTGTCCATTGCAACCACCCGCTTCCACCAATAGGCGATCTCTCCATATCTCTTTTGTCTTCTTTGTCTATAGCTTTGTCTATCAATTTCAATAATCGTCCCGCAGGACAGTGAAAAAATTCCCCAAAAAGACACTTTCAAAGACTAATGCTAGCTACCAAAGCTGAACCCTGTTCTGGCAAAGGCATGCTTCTCTTCACACTCCCTTCCCTCATCCTCCCAACTGCTACATTGGTCAAGCGTGTGGGACTGGATTCAGCTCTTTCTATCCAACCTTAATTTCAAACATGGCACAATCTCTGGGACTTGTTACACTTCAGTCAATTAGCTGTTATTTGTCATGATATTTGCTGCTGACACAACACTATCCCTTCCCCCCCCCCCC